TAACATTTGTCTTTTACCTTTCGGTTTGTTTAATATTATTTCCTTTTGGATTGCTGTGTGTATTACCGGTTAATGGCCCTAATGACCTTTTATGTGTTGACGGGCCGTTAAGAATGTCATAATAATATCAAAATACAAAGATTTTTAACGCAAACATAAACAGTTTGTGCAACATATTCATGTACAGTGCATCGTGGGTGTCGAGTGACAACTAAGCATGCAACTGACGCTGATTAAATGGTCTGGATGCAGACCCACAGTCTTAACTTGACAGGTCAGAGGATTTCAGTTGCAGGTATCATATTAACCAGTTGTGGGTTTGTGAAGAGCAGAGCGTGGACGGTCAGCCAAATTTCTAATTATTGAACGCAGAGGAGGATCAAGGTAACCAGATACTTCACCAAGCTTGGTGACTTGGATTTTTTCTCCATCATGTATACTGATATCTGATGTCAAGGTGCCTGATATGAGTTTTTGTTTTTTAAGTAACAAGGCTTTAGTGAGAGCTTCATTGATGGAAACCTTGTGTGTTTGAATATCTGAAGGCGCTGAATCATCAATAGCATCATCGAGAGTGATGGTGTTTTTTTTACGGAGGAGTGAAAATCTGGCCTGATAGTCTGCCGCTCTGGTGCGGTAAGATATAAACCTCACAATTATGTCACGAGATTTTTTTTATTTCTGGGACCTACTATGTGTGGCTACGACTTATGTTCTCACGAGCAATCATGTCTCCCAGTATATCATTACAGAAAGGAATAATGTGGTCGTCAGTACTCTCATTCTCTTCAGGGATACCTCGAAATTTGAGACAGTTACGACGAGAATATTGCTCCATATCGTCCTCCTCAATTACTTTCTTGAGGAAGTAAGGAATCTCGGTGCAACCAGTAGCTTCTATGAATCACATGTCTTTCGTTCATCTTGAACGTACCCAGTACTCTCCGCTCATATACTGGTAGATAGTCTGAGAAGCACTGAGGAGATCGGAAGTGGTCGCCAGTTATTTATACTGTCTAAGCCTTAGGCAGCAAGATCGATCGGTTTTCTTTGATGGCATCAATAACCTTTTCTGCACATAGCCTGGTATCGAATGAAATTGCTAGAAATTCTCCACTAGAAATGTCCTTGATAAAAATTTAAGGTCATTGCGGTCAGGGCCAGCCGACGTACCCTGGTTCGCTCTAGCAAAAGCACTCCTCACCTCTTCTACACTGATTGGTTTCACCAACCTCTCATTATCAACAGGGTTCGGTTTCAGATATACCGACAAGTCGACTTCTTAGATTTGTAACATTTGCGTTTTACCTTTTGGTTTGTTTAATGTTATTTCTTTTTGGATCACTGTGTGTTTTACCGTTTGATGGCCCTAATGACCTTTTATGTGTTGATGGGCCGTTAAGAATGTAATAATAATAATGATTGCACGATCACTGTTACTAAAGCATCCGACCTATCGGTCGGTCAGTCAAACAATGACCGGAACATAAAAAAACGCGAAATCAAAAGAACTTATAAAATAAAACACAAGCCTGTGACGAAAGACAAAATTCAGCTGACCAATGCCCACACGGCACTTTATGAAAAAAGGCAATAACAAGACTAACCACTTCAGTAAACAGAAGACTAATGAACAAGATTTACAACATAGACGTAAACTAATGAACAAGATTTACAACATAGACGTAAACTAATGAACAAGATTTACAACATGGACGTAAACTAATAAATAAGATTTAACAATTACAGAGACTACAATTCACATTAAAAGTCAATCCTGCCACAAATGTTGCAGATTTTACTATTTAATCTAAATGGAAATTAATAATATTTTATCCACTGCCATTTGTTTTTAACAGGTGCTTCGATCTGTTTCAAAGATTCTGCTACGGAAAGGAAACGCATGATCAACACACAATCTCACATCCTCAGAACACGAGGTTACGTGCGATAAACGCTTGATATAACCTATAGCGCTCCATGCGTCTACAAAACGCTTTGTAGATAGAGATCAATTGTAACACAATGACGAAACACGGTGTTTACTTGGGTTGACCGCAACGTTTATTTCATCATATAGTGGTTTTGCATAGTTAGTACTTAGCGTTAATATCCATTACAAAAGATAGTTCCTAATCAACATACAGCAACATGTCCTGGCACCAAAAATAACCACCTGTGCAAGGCAGACAAAAACTAAACACCTGCCCGTCCATATCAAAGAGTTCCATACAAATGTCCATGGGCCAACTTGGCCAGGGTCCGCTCCATCGTAGAGCAGGTCCCTTACGGGATTCTGCCCGTCTCCACGTCCGACCCCCAATTTTCTCTAGCTACTCGATCCCAGACTCGACTAACTTCTGCTGGCTATTGCCTTAGTATAAATAATACCCAAATACTTAATTTCAGCCTAGTCCATATTGGACACCAATAACCAAGCCCCTGGAGCATCTAATTATGAAGGCACGTGCGACTAGGAGTACCCGTTACCAACTTCCCATCTTTGATCTACAATATACATTGTTTCTTATCTTGTTTACTTACAAATACGTTCGACAGCGCGAGACATACAAAAGAGAGCATCTATCTGTCCTGATCAATGATACTGGCGATATTCTGCCACGGTGCTTCAACACAGGGGTACACACCCCGCCCGTTATCAGGCGTGCATCATTACCTGTCACTCACGGAATTTTTACCTCGGTCCAGCATTGACTGACTTTTGACCTGATGTACTTTAAAATAAGATGCTGCTCTCTACGGAAGTGGAATCAACCAGTAACCAATGGAAGACATACACAAAGGATATTGAGGCTCCACACACAGGGGTGATGTGAGTGAATTTTTATGGTTCCTACGAACTAGCTTTCAAACTACGAAAACGCTCAAATTTCCTACATTTAGTGTAATATCTCAGTAATAGTGATTATACCAAGTCCATATGGCGTGTATCGTTTATCTAGGTTAAAACTAAGGGGGAAATTTTAAATATCCAAGCACACATGTTTTTTCTGATGTATCCCAACCATCTCACCCTTTACAGGGGTTAACCAGACCATTTCTTCTCCATACCACTGACTAAATTAAATAATTTGCTCTTTTTCCCCTATTGGGTCACACCCTTACTTCCCCAGGAAGCCGAGATAAACCGTTTATACAGAATCGATTCGCCATTACTGAAGAAGAGTCTTAAGTTTGGCAAAATCTTATCATTGCTACAGGCTTTGGAATTTAATGAATTTGCTCCATTGCCCCTCTTGGCACCCATCATTTATGATTATCCATTACCCTAGAATACTTTTGACCAAATTCCAAGCATTTACGTGAGTAGGATTTTAGAGAATTTGCAAAGTTTCCCCTTTTAGGCCCACCCCTCTGGCCCCTTGGGGAAAAAGATACACCATTCATAAAAAATTGTTCCCCTTCCCCAAGGATTCTTCTGAGAATTTTTTTTCAACGTTTGCTTCATCATTCATGACTAGAACCGATTTGTAGAAAAAGGGAACGGACGGACGTCGCGGTATCCCAATAGCTCACGTTGCTTATAGGACAAGATGAGCTTAAATTCATGAACGAAATCCCAGTTTAAGAATATTTTCGTCAAAACATGGGCCCTTGAACTTTTCAGCGAGGCAATGCACGTGAATCTCGCCGAAATGCTATAAACTACATAATTCACGATAAACCAAATTTAAATGAATTTTAATGAACAATAAATTTATCACATGTAGAGGTTTTAGCAAAACTCAACAAAGGCGATTAACAGCACATACACCATATAGACAATGACAAGCCTGTATGTTTTATAAATGTAACTAGCAAAAAAACAAAAAACAAGAGTCTCTGTTCCAGTCTTTAGGTCGATTCTTCTTTAATTTTAGCTACAGACGACAAGCATTCTTTCTAAGTAAGGTAGACGAGACATAATAACATCATCCTTTTTCGCTATACGATAAATCTCGCTGAGATGAACACCGTCTGCTGTCAGACCACAAAGAAATTGATTTGAACTGATTTCAGGAATTCGATCGGTCGACGCAGTTCGTTTTATTCTGTGAATAAACTGTAAATATTTTAAAAAGTTACGTACTCGTTTTTACCTATACTGAGCCTATCCGTAGATTACAATACAATTATAACAATAATAATTTATATCATTGATATACGTGTAGTGTTAAACTACATTGTACATTTGTATCACGTGGCTGTCATGTGACTTAGACAATATCTATATAACATTATATTGATTAAACATTAGGGAACAACAAGGAAATACAATTCCTCACGTAACATACATGAGGATGTTTAGGTTTAGACAGTGATTCACTTACCTATGTTTTTTAATGAAGTAATGACGCTAAATCAAAATATGCAATACATATACCAAGTACGCAACAGGTTCTGAAGGATATGTCACATTCCGGCAAGGAGGGGGCGTTGGGCAGTATCGTTCAGTGCAAAAGAATTATAAAGTCGGTATGAGCTCCGCATATGCAGGTAAAACTCACGTTTGTGTCTTTAAATGAGCTTTTAGGTCATGTCATGCTCATTGTACGGCAAAAATTTAAAACCAAGGGAAACAAAAATATTGATACTCTTTGAAAACGGTTCTTCACGATTTTCAGTTGCGATATTACCAAACCCTGTGACGTTTTCCAATGTAATTTGAGGCTTTACATTGTGGGTTGTTTGTAGTTGAGCCATCAGTGGTAAAAGTATCCAGTGACAAAGTGTTTGAATTATTCTGGCTATTACGTGGGTATCAAAACTCTTAAAATTTAAGGTATTATAACTTGTTAATAACAATTTTCTGGTTTGGACAGAAATTATCTCGACAAGTGTTCCTTATCATTCATTACATACTTTGAAAGGTTCTTGCCCTATTGACGTGTCATTATCTCTGATAAGGTCACAACTTCACTATAACATAAGATACATCGCTACCTGTTCACAGAACTGTTGAATTCCACGTTGAATTGGGATTTTAAATTGCCAATAAAATGAATCTGTACTTGGTTTTATGTCTAGGCATGATGGGCCTTAGGCTGTCGTCTGCGGATCTCGATTTATCAGATCTGAAGCGGGAACTCGACGAGCAGAAAGAGCGACTAGCAGTGTTGGAGAAGGAATTGGGACCTAATACAAGCCCAGGTTTGTTTTATTTGAAGCATTGAACGAATTATGACGATAAATCTCTGTTAAATCTTCTGTTTATTCAAATATTATTTTTATCAAATATCCAGTGTTCTCTTGGTTGTTTTCTACATGATTCTCTCCATTATATATACACATTTGCCAGCGATGTATAATGGCCTCGATGCCACCTTTAAAGTAGTCATTTTCTTAAACGTTCAGAAAGTACCCTACTGCATGCATCGTTAGACTGTTGTTTGGTCTCAGGTAAAAATGATGGACCCACCTTTCATCTAAATCACAAACCCGTTAGTAGCCTCTGCCTCTGAAAGATTCAGGTTAGCAAGTAATACCTGATTAATAGTCAGAAGTCTTGGTACCCAACGGGCTGAGAACTTTCTCGTTGCTACATCTTTCGTAAGAATCTAATGTACACTTTTCTAACTACGCTCGCTATATACCTCTTTATGTAACTCGCGTTCAGCTATAACAATATCACTGACTTAACCATTTTTGGTGTCGCAACAGTGACAGGCCTTCCAGGACGGACGTCAATTCCAATGCTCTACCTGCAACTGTTAAATTACGCCGCCCACCTTTTAAGTGTAGCATACGAAGGGGCATCATTCCATATTATAGCTACCATATAGAATGGATATCCTTTTCTTATGCAAATTTTGAATAACTGCTCTTTCCGCAATTTAGTCAACTTTGCAAGTCACTTCTACCTCTTCGACATCAACTGACCAAATAATACCAGTCTTTCGGTAATCTTAAATAGTAAGGGAAAAGTAGAGCTGAAAAAGGACATTCCTGCTTTGATAAAAGGCTCACAATCAGCCCTCGTATATCAGGAAAATATGTAGTTAAGTTCTAACAATTTTTGACACCCTATTGTTATTGAAATTTGTTTGATGTTATTTCCGTTTTGGATTGCTGCGTGATTTTACCGGTTGATGGCTCAAATGACCTTTTAATGTGTTGGCGGGCCGTTAAGGATGTATTCTTAAATCACTTCCAAAACATGTTCTAACTCATTTGGATAAATATAAGAAGACATCAGATTACTTTTTTTTCTTTACAGCAAAAAATCCTGCAGTCCTGCCGGAATTACTTACGAAGCGTGCTCAATACGGTTATGACACTGTGGTTTTTAGTGCATCACTAAATGTACCTTTCGACAGTAGCAGACATAACAGTCCCATCCCTTTCGATACAGTGACAATAAACGAGGGTAACGGTTACTCGTCAGCAACTGGTGTATTCACGACCCCCCGCGACGGCGTTTATATGTTCTACACATCTGTGGCAGTTAATGGGGACGACGCCGTGCACGCACAGTTGCAGAAGAATGGAGTATCCCAATGTGCCTGCACTTCTACGCACTATGGGTCAGGGTCCTGTATGGTTATAATCCCACTTACTGTCGGCGACAAGGTTTTTGTCAAGGAAGTGTTTGGCACCCACCTTAGAGCAGAACATTTGACTACATTCAATGGAATGTTTGTTATATAAGCAGAACTTTCACTTTCTGGAGATTGAATTTTTGATCGTTTTGCTGTATTTTTATGAAATAAAATCTGATTATTGAAAATATCCATAGATATTGTATAAAGCCTGTCTGTTGCTGCCTCTTGGTTTCTAAGATGAAAGGCTTGTGGTGACCTATTTTTTGTCTGACGTCGTCAGTCGGCAAACCTTTTTACATTTATGACTTCCCTTAACTCATTTAAAAGAAAATTGGCAGAAACCTTCCATGGCCAAGAGTTAAACAACATTATAAATTGAATGGCTCACGCCCGCGGGGCCAGAGGGAGGGGTCAAAAAGGGTCAAAATGGTTGCATTTTCAAAACTCTACTCAAAACCTTAATATAGTCATGTGAATAATTAAAAATACCTTTGCTGACCCTCAGATGGATATGGGCAAAATGTGTCATTTAAATGGAAGTAAAAAAAAACTTTTCTCAACACCCAAATATAATAGAATCAAATACTCAAATAGATGGAAGGATTTTCTGGTACTTTACTACAATAGTAAACTTTTGACCCCAGGTTTCGTATTTTTTGGAAATTAAGTATATTTTTTATAGGAAGATTACGTTTCTTGTGGAAAATTTGAATATTTCCAATTGAAAATAGATCAAACTTGATGAGAATAAATTTTATAGGACGACACCTCAATGTAATGGATATATTGACCTGGCCATCCCTCAGTAGCTGATTGGCTTTTCCAAAAATGATAAAATTTTAACTTTTAAATATCCAGATATTGGAGAATCAAATACTCTTCACGGATGGATGGGCCTAAAAGTAGAACTCTTGTGTCCCTGTAAAAATATTATTCATCGTGGTCTCTTCTCTATACTAATTAATTCCAGCTGTTTTAGTTTAGATGGTTCAGAACAATCTTTGACAGAAGCAATTAAGGAACTTGATGAGTATGCAAAAATTTCAGGGTTGAAAATTAATGTAGAGAAAACACAGGTAGTGTGGATAGGTAATAAAAAATATAGTGAAGATTCGTTTTTACCAGATTTCAATTTACAGTGGGGAATGAATAAATTTACACTTTTGGGAATTATTTTTAGTGTTAATCTTCACGAAATTCCAAAGCTGAATTTTGACAAAAAACTCTTCAGGTTAAAATCATTGATTAAACAATGGAGCAGAAGGTCTTTAACTCCAATTGGTAGAATTCATGTCATCAAATCCTTGCTTATATCACAGTTTAATCACCTTTTTATTTCACTTCCAAATCCAAATGAAAACTTTATTAAAAAATTGAATTCCATTTTATTTCAATATTTATGGAATGGGGGGGGGGGGGGGGGGGGGGGGGGGGGGGGGTCAGATAAAATTAAGCGAGATGTTGTTGTTGTTGTTCAACACCATGTCAATGGAGGTCTTAAGATGGTTAATATAGATGCCTTCATGAGCTCTTTAAAATTAAGTTGGATAAGGAGGTTATTTCAAACCACTGAAAAATGGCAGGCTATTTTAAAAACCTATATTGATATTGATTTGCTGGCAAATTGTGGTAGTGAATATATACAGTTATGTATAAGTAAATGTAAAAATCAGTTCTGGAAAGATGTTTTTAAATCATGGTATAAATTCATCGTGCAAAGAGATAATTTGGAAAATAATGGGTTAATCTCCAAAATACCACTCTGGTATAACAAAAAAATATGTATTGGGGGAAACCTATTTTTTACAAGGATTGGTACAAGAATGGTGTGATCAATATATGTGATGTTTTAAAAGAAGTTGCTCCAGTGTCTTTTTATACCTTAAATGAGTTTACACGTAAATATCACATTGCTACAAATTTTCTTCAGTACCACAGCTTCATATCTTCAATAAAAGATTTTATCTCTTCATATGATTTAACTTTATCGAACATAGCTTACCCATTCATTCCTGTAACCTAGTTAGAGGTACAAAACTGTTTTATGATATCTTGATTAAGAATGATGTGGCACCATCTTGTAAATTGAAATTGAATCAAGAATTTGACGATATTAATGATGAAGAATGGGCAAAATTTTCTCTGTAGAATTGGTCTGGTTAGCTCACCTCTCTGTATTTTATGTAACTCTGAAACAAAAAATTCAAAACTTCAATGGAATTTCTACAAAGTTTTGAAATAGTTCAGGCATTACTTATTCCTTTTTCAATTAATAAAAAATTCTTCTTCTTTGAATTTTTTCAAGTTCCCATATCAATAGGGTAGATAATGAAATTATAGCTATCACCTCTCTGTATTTTATGTAACTCTGATTAAGAAATATACTATTAGGGCGATACTGTTCATATTTTATGGGAATGTAATGAATGTACAGAATTTACTACAAAGTATATAATATATAATACTATTACAGGCATTACTTATTCCTTTTTCAATTAATAAAAAATCTTTCTTCTTTGGAATTTTTTCAAGTTCCCATATCAATAGGGTAGATAATGAAATTATAACTATCATGAAGCAGTACATATATAGAATGAGGTGTATGCATAATTCTTTGCATATAAACTCGGACATTACGGTAAACGTGTCCATGGCCGAAAAGACAATTACAAAGTCCAAAAATATATTGCTGTTAGTTAGAATCTATACCTGTATTTTTCCTTATTTTTAGTATTATTACATCGTTAGAGTGTGCATGCATTGTTTAGGCTAGTAGGGTACAGGTGCGCGCTAAAAGGTTACATGTTTACGTTTTTATGTAGAACAATACGGATTCATGTATGCGATTGCCATAGTTTGTTTGTACTTTTGAATGGTAAATAGCTTTCTCCTAAGTCGATAATATATAATATATATTTATAAGAAATAGTCAGTTTAACTTGTATATGTATAGAACCCTTGACAAGGTCATTACAACCAAAGTATTACGTTCTCTTTCATGTAAACTACACTAATTTTCTTTTGGCATACATACTTGACTTTTGTTCTTATATAACCATGTTATAATGTCATATACTTACACATATGCGGTTTTACATGTATTACATACATGTCTGTTATCATAGAGAATGATAATTGTGTTTGGTGTGTCATTTTGTGATTGTTGTTTGGAAGGTGTTTAAAACATTAGGTATCTGAACATCTGTATTTGTTGGGCATGGGCCTGTGTCCACGAACGGCCATATGATGTGGATAAGACAGTCAGCAGTGGTTTTGTGAGATATGGCTCCAAATACACCATCTCTTGAAATCTTTGGTTAGCTGCGGCTTCAGTGTTCATCATAACTTGTCATGGAGCAGAACGACTTGTGTTGTCTTTGCCATCGCTGGTAATATGGACCGCGAGTACAACCAGGTTTCCGTGACGTCATTGTGCGGAGATACGTCATAGTGAGGTGCTTTTCATGATACATGTATTATATGAGCTCAGTGTGAAATAGGTGTGGACTTGACCGCACCACATTGATGTAGTGGTTTTCATAGTGACATTGATATTTGCATTGTAAATATTCATCTGTGTGGAAGTCATCATTTAGATGTGTGTGTGTTAGTGGATGTGAAGAATGATACATTATGTATATAAATGTGTAATGTGTAGGTGTAAATAAATTATACATATTGTACGTGATTGTCTCCCTTGTTTGTATAAGTAGCGTCATCGCTCTCCCACACTACACTGTTAAGATTACTGAATTTTGTGAGGTGTGAAATGGTGTGGATAGTGATGTAGGGAATGAGAATTATGATTGTGATGATGATGAGGATCATGATAATAATGAAATGGTGATGATGATCTTGATTTGTAATGATGATGATGATGATCAGGGTGTGATGATGATGATGGTTGTGGTGATGATGACAATGATCTTGATTTGAGATGATGAAGTTGGCGGTGGTAGTGGAGGTGATGTGATGATAATGATGATTGATACATCATGATGGTGTGATGAGGATGATTATAGTGATGATAAGTGTGATGATGATGAGGATGATATTGAATTGTGATGATGATGATGATGATGATGATGATGATGATGATGATGATGATGATGATGATGGATGATGATGATGATGATGATTAGGATGGTGATTGTGTGGTGATGATGATAATGATGATGTGTATTGTACATTAAAATGGAAATAAAAAGATCATTACAAAAAAAAATATCCCAAAGTCCTGGAAATAACCGCCCATTATCATTCACGAGTTGCGTTTGTAAAACTCAAGAGCGGATGATGAATTCAAGATTAATTTGGTATCTGGAATCCAATCACATAGTTTCACCTTCAAAGCGGGTTTAGATATAAGCAAGTTTTCATTGATCATTTGGTTATACGTGAAGAAGGAGCACTTCAAATTTTCTATCATGGGTAGTTCAAGTCCGGAATGGAACGACCCTTTCCGATGTTCATCAGTAGAAAATGGATGTACCACAAGGCAGCATTTTTTCGGTTACACTTTTTGGACTTAAAATTAACAGTATTGTCAAAACATTATCCCTTTCAATGGGAGGCGCTCTTTATGTCGATGACTTCATCATATGCGATCGATCTAAGCATATGAATACCATCAAAAGACAACTACAACATTGATTCGACTACAAATTTGGGCAGATGAAAATGGATTTAAATATTCAATCAAAAATAGTGTATGCATTTTGTCAAATGCGGAAACAACACAACGATCCAAATCTGTCTCTCTTTGGTGTACCTATTTCGGTTGTTGAGCACACCAAATTCTAATGTGTAATATTCGACAGGAAATTGTCGTTCCTTCCATATATAAAATACCTGAAAGCTAAATACCTTGAGGCACTGAATATACTAAACGTGGTGTCCCACACGGATTAGGGAGTTTTGGTAAGATTTTATAGAGCTCTCTTTAGATCAAAATTAGGCTACAGTTCCATTGTGTATGGATCTGTTATACCTTCATATCTCAAATTATTATACACTGTTCATCACCAATACACCTCTCAGCTTAAGTCAAATTATTTTTCTTCGGTAGTATTTGATCCAAAATATCAAACTTTGTTTCAAAACAAAGAAAAACCATTCCATCATTCGGTATTCGAATTTCCGCTCTTTTACAAAACACATATATTGATATTGATCAAATTCGGTCATTAGGAACGATAGAAATTCCATGGTAGCTTTTGAATTCACCTTTAGTTGACTTTTCATTTCATGAAATGGTTAAATCAGACACAGACAGTTACGTCTTTCATTCACCATTCTTGAAATTGCAGTTATGATATAAACACATTTCTAAATTATTGCTGATGGTTCAAAAGATGATGAAAAGGTTGCTGCGGCCATGGTTTCACAAGATGAAGCGTATAGATGACGGCTTCCGAACAATGCCTCAATATTCTCGGCGGAGGCGCGAGCTATCTATCTCTCCCTTGAATATATCCAAACAAGCAAAGTAATGAGAGCTGTAATCTATTCAGACTCTCTTTCTGTTCTACAAAGTCTTAGCAATAGAAATATAGAAAATATTTTCATTCGTAATACATTAATACTATATCATGACTTTGCCTTTAACTTTCGTATTGCTTTTTGCTGGGTCCCTGTGCACATGGAAATACCAGACAAAGGAAGCTTCATTGCTACCACCTGTTGTTTTTAAACATCATTTTACTGATTTTAAACCATGTATCAAACCTTTTGTGACAGTTCTGTGGCAGGAGGAACTATACCAATGATAAATTGCATTCCATACAACCTGTCATCCGTGAATGCGATAGAAACAATTACCGAGGTGAAGTTGTCCTTGCCCGTCTTCGGATGGCCCATTCATACCTTACGCATTCATATATGTTGAAAGGCGGATATAACATTCTTTACATATGATCTTTTTATCGCAACGTTACAAGTCTAAAGACCCTTTTTGAAACTGCTGAGATTGATTCTAGGTTATCTTGTCTGTATTATAGACTGTGACTTGCCATTTTAGTAATTATATAACCACTGAAGATTTTTAGCATTTATCTTTTACCTTTTAGTTTGTTTGATGTTATTTCCTTTTGGATCGCTGTGTGTTTTATCGGTTGATGGCCCTAATGACCTGTTACGTGTTGACGGGCTGTTAAAAATGTCATAATAATAATAATGATGATTTATCGTAGCATTTACGCCGTCAAAACAGCTCAATTTGTACGAAACCTACTTCATTCAAGTTGTCTTTTTAAATGAGCTATTCACTAAACATAGCAACTCCGATATCTTCCGTTCTTTATTAGCAATGTGATATAAAGTAGTGTTAAAACCATACATTTACGTTAAAGTTAGAAGATAAAACTTCGTTTAGAATAATATCCACCCGGAAAACGTAGGTCGGCCACTATAGTTTATATCACTGTACACTGTGTTATTTGTAGTACGTCCCACTTGTATGAACAAATGGTCACCCTGGTTAAGCCTCAGGACAACTATACCAGTAGCCTGATGTACGTCATGTATCTCCTGAGCATCGGCAAATGACGCCCCCCTTCTTACTCCGTTAACAATCAAATAAGTTTGAATGTAACTACGGAATCCTGATAGAGTTGTCCAAGTGATTACATACGTGCCGGTTTTGGGTACTGTATAGATCCCGTCATTCGCATTGTATCCGTCCCCGTCATCAAGCGTCTCGTCGTCAAACTTTACTATATTCCCTTTACCAGCGGTTAATGAATGTGTCAGTTCTAAATGGAAGGCCTGTAGAGCGGGAGGCACTACCCCTACAACAATATCGCTTAATTAGTAAATGCATGTTTAGCTCAAATAAAAATATCGATTTTGTTTTTGCAAAATAAAAAAAAAACGATTCATATTCATGTATTACTGTGATCTTCGTTGTCTTTGTCACCTTCATTAACACTATAAAGTAGATGGCAATACACAACTATGAATTCAACTTCATTCGGCAACATTTCAAACCAAGTGCGCCTTGGTGAAAGTTAAAAACGTCGACTTGGTGCATGGCCGCAGGCAGTCCGTCCACAGGCAGCCCGTCCACAGGCAGTCCGTCCACAGGCAGTCCGTCAACAGGCAGCCCGTCGACAGGCGTCCATCTTGGATTTTGATTATGAAAGTTGTCTGTTTCTATTTTTTGTTGAATTTCCTTTCGATTTCTAGATGTGCCCTTGATTCTGGTACTGATACAAATATTGACTATGAATGTTTGTTGTCACCATTACTGTATCATTTCTGGATCTTTGACATTTTATATGTAGTTTCCTCTTAGTCCCTCTTTGGCCTTGTAATTTTGAGGCTAATCGGTAAACAAAATGGCTGATTGGCCGTCATCGGGAGTTTTGACAACTATGAAACGTCTGTTCCTTGACAAGTACTGATGGGATCGTTTTCAAATTACAAATAGATTTAAGCTTTGCTTTAGTGCCCTGTTAATTTTGTGACTGTTCAGGCCAAACATAACATTAACAGCAGGCCATCGTTGATTTTGACAACTGAAATTAGTTATCGCTATTTCTTTGAAAGCAGTAGATGAATCCTTCTCAAATTTAATATGTATATCCCTTAAATTATGTAGGTTGCATTGTCGAATTATGAACTGATAGAAATATGGAGCAAACTAACGAACATAAAACATGTTCAGCTTCAGATCGCATAATAAGAGTATGAGATCACTATGACGACCGTGAAATTTGCCAGAAGCTAAAGAAACCTGCATCTCTCGAAACATTATGTTGTGATGTTATCTGTCAGTCGTCGACATCATGCCAAAATTCGTAATATTGAGAGCAAGATCTTGCATACTATGTAAACAGATAGATAAGCTGGGATGATGTTAGCTTGCGATTAAAAATTCAAAATAATGCAATTAAAATCATCACGCTTGTAACAGCTTGGAAGAATGTTGTACTTGTTGGTTTGGTTGAAAAAAAGACTGATGTAAGTTTAAAGCAAGTGATACAACAGCGCTCTGATATCACCATATATCAAAGCTTAACTTCCATACATTTGAAAGTGATGTCACTGTAAATACCTGGGTATAATATCCCTGGTGTTTCATGAGCGAATCAAATTGTAACTTACTCATATCGTTTAACAACCATTTTTACCGCTGGATATAGTAGCTTGGAAGACTTATAATGATTATTTAATTCAATGGAAAATTAAGAACAGACCGTAAATTTGATTGGCTACAAATACGTACTTATCCCTCTCTTTTTACCAGTTCGGTTCTCATCAGCAACATCAGACGTGGCTCCTGTGTCCATGGTGTCAGGGAAGGTGCGATCGTTCTGTATAGAACCCTGACAGGTGGCGTTCTTCACTAGAGATATAGTATCTGTAGAGGTTTTCCCATAGTCATCATTACTTGTTATTTCTGCGTGAACCTGACTGTTTTCTGCATCATTTATGCGACCTGCGGTATTTTTTTCCCACAAAGTCAAACGATCTGGTGAACCCTTTTGTGTCCCTGATAATTGTCTTGTGAGTAACATGACCTGCTGCTTCAAATTACTTATCTCATTTTTCGCCATCTCAATTTCCTGCTCTTTGTCGTGTACATATTTGCTGAAAGTTTCCATATGGTTTTCTAGTGCTGTTTCAAGCTGGTCTACTCGGACATCTTTATCAGTCAGTATATGTTCCATTGATTTAAATTTTCGGTCCACTGAGGCTACAAAGTTCATTAATTGTTCTGGTTGGTCACTCTGTTGGGAAATCGTTCCATTCACTTTGCAAAATAAACAAACCAGGAAGGGGAGGAGACAAATCCTGCCAGACATGTTTCGGATCTTTATCGGCTGAAATATACACACGTATACCGGTGCCGTTATTACCGACGTTGAAGTGACTCTCAGTATTGCGTGGGACGGACATAGATAAAAATGTGTTCCAGATAAATTATGTAACACATCTATAATCACTATTTTTAACCTGCATGTGCAACATTTTTATTGGACTGCCTTGACTTCCGTCTACTCGAGAAAATTTTTATCGTAACATTACAAGTCTAAAGACCCTTTTTAAAACTGTTGCGATTAATACAATTCTAGGTTATCTGAAAGATGTGACCTTTGGATCGTCGTGTGTTTCACCAGTTGATTGACCTAATGACCTTTTATGTGTTAACGGGCCGCTAAGATTGTAACAAAACTAATAATAAATGTCGCTTGCATTGTTTTATATTATCATTCTCTTGCATTAAAACAACGTGTGATACTTATCTTACCACTATTGAAAGAGAAAACATTTCCAAAAAATTATAATGAAAGGCATGCACGGGAAATACAATGTGAATTCTCGCCCTGTAATGTAACATATTTATATCATATAGTTTATTGTTAGCAACTATAAGCAAAGTGTGACCCTTCTCCTATCCGACTTTGTTTATTGAACTGCTTATAAACCCGATCCGCACAAATCATGCACTATTTATTATATCAGTGTTGTCATTAGGCGGTATATGAACATGATGAACCTACGATTAAGTTGAGTGAGTACCGACAGGTTGAAAATGATTCTGCTAATACTTCAAGTAACGACTAGTGTAACAGATTGGACGGTGAAAGCGACCTTGCCATTCGAACCAGGAACAACAACTTCTTTGAGTTATCTAACCTGATAAGAATTACAGCTGGGCTTATTCTCTTTGTAATTTGTTTTCAGACGTTCACATGGAAATCATTCTTTTGTTCATATTTTGTTCTAGTTTTATTAAATTCGGATAATGCTGATGTTTATACGTTGACTTTTTCTTCTCATTTCTTTATTCGTTTATTTGGAACAGAAATCCTTGTACTATCCTTATTAACCATGTAGAAAGTATACATAGTGGAAAAGTTCTAGTAGTTAACACTGTTCCTTTATGTCAAACACTTGCGTAAGCAGTGTGTGATGACGTCACTGGCATTCCTTAATTATAGGCGTTGCTAATTGTCAATTCAAATTCAACCTGAAACATACTTTGCGAACACGATTGCCGATATAATCAATCATGAATTGACTATCATACAAGCTTTATTTGGCAATGCCGTCGATCATGGCATACATCTTCCAAATATTATATTTTAACTTCTCTAAACATCTTTACCGTATCCAGTTTATCGGAATGTTTCAGAAATGGCCAAAAATGAACCAAAATTGTCCAACCCTAATCTCTCTCAAGTAAGGCTAGACTATTTCACTTGGGCGGATTATGTAAGAAAATGAAATGTTTGTGTATCCTTTCCGAAATGATTCTTATTTTAGAATGTTTAATATGACGAGGTAGTTTGATGACGTGCAAATATTAACTGACACGAACTTTTAAAGACATCTTCTGCAGACCTTGATAAAAATAATTTTGGCGAATAGAATGGTGTTAAGGTACTCTGTAAAAATTGTGAATTTCAGTACCCAGATTATCAAACATGTACAACTGGGTAGGGATTTAAAGACTGTTGAGTTTTCTATGATACTGTGATATTGATTATTTCATTTCTTTTAATGGAGTCTGTATATATGCGCCCATGTTGGTCCTGACTGACTCAATTCCCAACATACTTACTTTTTGAATGATATTAAGAGGCACGTGGAACAAACGTTGCTCCCGATTTGTAAACGACTTGCATTTTACAGTACGTTTGGTATAGAGATATGTACACACTTGATAGATAAAACGTTATATATATTCATAAACCAAGCAGATGTTTAGCAATAACCTTGACCTCTGGGCCTGAAAGGCAATGCAAAGCAAACATTTTCGTCAGTGAAGCATTGTATAAATTTTGAGTTTGGTCAAACAATACTCGAGCATTGATAGGAAAATTTACGTGCGATGGAGGAGAACGATAAAAACAGTTCTAAGGACAATTAACACAGTTTGGTGTTGCTCCGATTTTTTTTTTATTGTATTGTAAAGATCATAATGAAAACTGCACACCATGTTTCATACATAAAACTTCGCGTTCACCATATTCTCTTGTATTTGCCTTCAGTACAACCTCCATCCTGAAAAGGTAGGTCGTGAACTGTAGTTTATGTCGCTATAAACTGTATGATTCGTCGTGTGACCCACTCTAACGAACACGTGATCACCATGGGTTAGTCTAAGGACTGCGATAGTAGTAGCCTGGTGGACGTCATGTATCTCTTGGGAATCGGCGAATGCAGAGGCTCTTTTGTAACCGTTCACATACAAGAACGTTTGGACATAGCTATGGAATGCTGATAGTGTTGTCCACGTGATGACGTAAGTACCAGTTTCCGGTACAATGTAGATTCCGTCATGAGTGTTATAGCCGTTTCCATCGTCCAGTGTTTCGTGATCATACTCCACTATACTACCCGTATTAACGGTCCGTGTACTAGTCATCTCTACATGGAAGGCCACATTTGCTCCAGAGTAAGGAGCTGACCCTGAAGTAAAAGATAAGATACATACTAATATGTCAGCTCTATTATGAAGGCCTCACTTTTGGCGAAGTAGGGAAATGACCCTGGAAAAATGAAATAAGATGTCTTCTACTTTGTGCTATAATTACATGAAAAAATCTTCAAGTGAAGAATGAAGGTAAATTTTATTAACCAGAATCTCGTATACAATCAGTATACACTCGACACGTTAGATATAATGAAATCTATTCATTTGATGTCTGGTAAAGGGCTAATTAAAGTTTTTTAATCCAGACTCAAAACACGCACACACACACACCACCACCACACACGCGCGCGCACACACACACACACACACACAAACACACAAACTCACACACACACATATGTACAAAAAACATTAAACACAACATCCAAATTTCAATTTCAAAATTTTTGTTTCTTTTTACCAGTCAATTCTTTACCGTTTTTGATGAAAGTTTTTTTTCCCGTTTTGCAGGTAGTGTTGGCTTTGAGTATACTTTCTTGGTGTTTCCCCTACTGCTGTTCCTCTTTAGGCCACCTCTTATAGTACAACGGCATTACAGCTTTCCTCATTGTATACCCCCATGCAATATTTTGTCTCAGTAATCTCACCCATAGCTCGCCGTAACGCAAATGTTGAAAAATAAAGTTTTTATTCAATCTGTCGCTGTAACTGAGGTTTTCATTCCTGGAATGCACTTACATAAAATGTGAAAAAACGATATCGGGTTAACGAAATAAATTAGTACAGACAATAATCAACGAGAAAGTTAAAAAAAAAAAAGTCAATCCAAACTCAAATTCAATCAAACTGGGGCAAAATATGAACAAACAAATTACATGGAGATTCCTGAAAAAGCACAAAGAGAGTAAGCTCGTGTGCTCTGAAAGAGGAAGAGTTTTCTGCTTCATCGACGACGCCCGCCATGTTAGAAGAGTTTGGATTAAGATTATGTTCACATGTTGGTGTTTTCCCTTTGTTTTTATTTACATCGATGAAAGAAAGTTATTGACGAACATTGACAGCCCTCAGTTAGTAAACCTAGATTGTTTAAATATACATACTCAGATGACTCGGTTCCTCTGCTGGATCCTCAACTGTTAAAGCACCAGACTTCATTCCAGTGGTATTCCGGACGATGGCTACACTGTGTAAGGAATCGTTATCACCATTCCACATGGATGCAAGCCGTGATCTTTCTCTGGTGTCTATTTTATTTTCATCCTCTGTACGATCTGCAGTATTTATTTGCTCTAAAGTAGATAAACGTTTTGCGAAGTCTTGAGAAACTGCTTCTGCCTTCAATTGTTCTCGTGTGCATGACGTCACTTCCTGCCTCAGAACATCAACATCCATGTCTTTCGCTTGCATCTCCCCCTCTTTGTCGTGTACATATTTGGTGTAAGCTGTAATATGGTGTTTCAGTGCTGTTTCCAGCTGGATTATCCGGTCATCTTTAGAAATCAGTTGCTGTTCCATTGCGTTCAGTTTTTTGCCCAATTCGCCTACGTACTGTATCCATTGCTGGGATTGGTCTGGAAATTGTGGAACTGCTCCACACAGTGAGCCAAATAGACAAAATATCAGAAAGATTATAACATTCCTGGCAGACATATTGGTATACCTTATATGACTGCACAATATGCACCTATACCTATTTATATGCGTGTTATCTTGGTCACATGCATCGGGATTGTAGAAACAAAAAGCACTCTCTGACCTTGATATACATGTACGTACACTCTGTGACAGCTGGAGAGTCCGGCGAAATGATTCGTAAATATTTGTTCGACAAACCAGTTTCTTCCACGGGCAAAACAAAAAACGTATATTGAATTGGATCCATAAAGCTTTACATAACTGGCCTCTGCGATGAAGAGAAGGCACTTACCCTTTGCTTTATTGTGTTTATACTTAAGTAAAGATTGTCCAAATTTGTAAGGAACAACGGAACAACCAAAGAAAATGCTCTCATAAAACGCATAGCTCAAAATCCGTAGGCATGCTTTTGCGCTACAAAACATCGTCATTATTGTATCTCCCATTAAGCTTATTACATTACGTAAAGTATGTTTGTAAACGTTTTCACCATTAATCGGTTTTAGTCACAAACGACTCCCAAGATTTTGACATTTTCTCAGAAGCTTCCTGAGGAGAACGAAATAGAATTAAGTGTTACCGGTCGGTCTGACCCAAACCCACTCACCTCATTGGTACCCGAGTGCGGCCCAATGGAAGACATTAGTGTATTCGTAAAAACTTGACTCATCTTCTGTAGGAATGCCAGACGAGTTCCTTATCAGTTTGAAGCGTTGTTAGATAAAGTGAAATAATTCTATAAACAGCATGGATGATACGAAGAAATAGAGATTTCATCTTCAACTTCCTTTATGTTGGGTGAATGTTTTGTTCTGAAGCATTCTTGGATGAACGGGACTGAGTTTTGTGGAGTTAAACATACCTTTTTACAAAATGAGTTCCCTTCGCTCAGGGGCGTTTCAAACCACTCAGACCAACTTCTGCCATTCCAACAGAAGGACCGACTCCATAAGGAAGCTGGAAGTATATTGGTGCACTTCTTTTTGATATACTTATTGTATAAGTGTCTCGTAATGAAACCAATAAAATGTTAACAAATGACTTTATATTACAAAGGAAACTCAAAAGGATTTGATTAACATTGAAACAAGTATTTAGGAAGAAGGGTAGAATAACAATATTACTCCACAAAGAAAGACGACAAATGTTGAATCTAAAGGGAGTTTATATATAGAAAGGGAAATTACTATAAAGAAAGACTAAAAGGATTGTACTCTATATATAAATACTAAAGGGAGTTTACTCTATATAGAAATACTAAAGGGATATTACTCTATATATTGTACTCTATATATAAATACTAAAGGGAGTTTACTCTATATAGAAATACTAAAGGGAGATTACTCTATAAAGAAAGACTAAAGGGATTGTACTCTATATATAAATACTAAAGGGAGTTTACTCTATATAGAAATACTAAAGGGAAATTACTCTATAAAGAAAGACTAAAAAGATTTTAATTCACATAGATAATAAAAAGGATTTTAATCTACAAATTAAGACTATATTCATTAAATTGGTTCTGGTTTATTTTTATAAATACATATATTTATAGCATTTGGTAATGATTTCGATCATTCATTAACATTTAAAAACAAATAACAAAAATGTCCATACAAGCAATAACAAGTTTATTCTTTCGAGGGACAAAACCTCAAAAATAATGGAAAAGGTGATGATGTGAAACATACTACTGTACTGATTTAAACCCAAGGCATTGTTTCAAGGGTAAAAACCTTCATGAATGTCACAAAAATGATTATGGCGGGGTGGGGGGGTATATAGTTCCATTTTCATAATTCTTTCTCCTGAAATAGTGAAATATTCATAATTTGACACAGTAAGTGTATACTATACTTTGTTAGCACCAACACTGTACTGGTGGTTTTATCTGTAATAACAGTAATCATCCTTATTCTCATTAAGCTTTGTATTAGGACTACATCCATGTCTTACACCTCAAAAATTACAGGAAATAATATCACACGAGACCTAGGTTGTCCAATGTTACAGATGACCAGTGGTAAGTTAACATGAATTTAACAAATCTGGGAGAATTATGTTGTTAACACTTGTATTTTCTGCTTTAAAGATTGGAGTTTTTCACTTATCATTGGTCAACTTTAACAAAACCTTTGAACAAGCATGGCATGTATACTTGTTAACAAGGCTAGTATCAGCAAATCATGTGATACTTACAGAATTTGAGGGTCAGTGCAGAAAGAAACATAAAAAATTAACAATTATATTTATTTTACAGCAATTGCAAAGCAGATTAACACCTTATATTCATCAATCTTGTTGGCCCAGATGGAAGTAGGCAAGGGATTTGACTTAGGGAGGAAACCTATGTACCTGGGAATTCCACGTTCAGACAGGTAACTTCATTACCTTTTCATATCTGTTCTGGGAATAGAAACTGACAGCCAAGTGAAAGGTGAGTGTGTTACCACAATATCAAATGTTTCTAACTATTGGAAGGACACCTGAATCTTAATCTTGGTCCATCATATAAAGGCAAAACGATGATTATACAAAGCATGCTTTCCTAAGCAAAAAAAAGAAATAATTTAGCGTTTCACATCATTATCAAAGTTAATATAAAATCATGAGTCTATAGATAAAGTGACCATTAAAAATCCAATTTATAGTGTCATCACACTGAAACGTGATGTCCTGTGGCAACATGCTATAACATTATTTCTAGTTTTATAGACTTTAATTTGTCTCAGGCATAGGGTGGAGCCCATGTTTCCCAAATTAGGTTGAAAAGTTGATAACGAGTTAATTGCATGCAAAGCAAAAGCAATAAAAACAGAAGTTGAAAAACAAATTGGTCCTCTAATAACTAGTAACATATCACTGAGTGGCATGATGACGATGACAATGAACATACACATCAGTTGTGTGAAGGTTGGGTGAATATACACATCAGTTGTGTGATGGTTTGGTGACTACTGTCAGTTTCAACACATAGAAATTATCATAGCACACCTGATTCAATAGAATACCAGTTCATTACTCATGACCAAGAAAATATTAAACATTGTCATGATAATATTAGACAAACATTGTCATAGTGATATTACACAAACATTGTCATAGCTATATTACACAAACATTGTAATAGTTATAATATGCAAACATTGTCATAGTAATATTACACAAACATTGTCATAGCTATATTAGACAAACATTGTCATAGTTATATTACACAAACATTGTCATAGTAATATTACACAAACATTGTAATAGTTATATTACACAAACATTGTCATAGTAATATATCATAGCTATATTAGACAAACATTGTCATAGTAATATTACACAAACATTGTCATAGTAATATTACACAAACATTGTCATAGTAATATTACACAAACATTGTCATAGTAATATATCATAGCTATATTAGACAAACATTGTCATAGTAATATTACACAAACATTGTCATAGTAATATTACACAAACATTGTCATAGTAATATTACACAAACATTGTCATAGTAATATATCATAGCTATATTAGACAAACATTGTCATAGTTATATTACACAAACATTGTCATAGTAATATTACACCAACATTGTCATAGTAATATTACACAAACATAGTCATAGTAATATATCATAGCTATATTACACAAACATTGTCATAGCTATATTAGACAAACATTGTCATAGTTATATTACACAAACATTGTCATAGTAATATTACACAAACATAGTCATAGTTATATTACACAAACATTGTCATAGTAATATTACACAAACATTGTCATAGTTATATTACACAAACATTGTCATAGTAATATTACACAAACATTGTCATAGTAATATACACAAACAGTAATAGTTATATTACACAAACATTGTCATAGTTATATTACACAAACATTGTCATAGTAATATTACACAAACATTGTCATAGTTATATTACACAAACATTGTCATAGCAATATATCATAGTTATATTACACAAACATTGTCATAGCTATATTACACAAACATTGTCATAGTTATATTACACAAACATTGTCATAGTAATATTACACAAACATTGTAATAGTTATATTACACAAACATTGTCATAGTAATATTACACAAACATTGTCATAGTAATATATCATAGTTATATTACACAAACATTGTCATAGTAATATTACACAAACATTGTAATAGTTATATTACACAAACATTGTCATAGTAATATATCATAGCTATATTAGACAAACATTGTCATAGTAATATTACACAAACATTGTCATAGTAATATATCATAGTTATATTACACAAACATTGTCATAGCTATATTAGACAAACATTGTCATAGTTATATTACACAAACATTGTCATAGCTATATTAGACAAACATTGTAATAGTAATATTACACAAACATTGTCATAGTTATATTACACAAACATTGTCATAGTAATATTACACAAACATTGTCATAGCAATATTATGCATTTTCATATCATTATAATATATTGCCATGGTAACAATAATCATCTTATTAAAATTACACACTGTCAATATATATCTGATTATACTACTGTACTAAATGTCATGATGCTGTTCTAATTAACTTAACCCTGTTTTACTGCCTTACCACTGTGTTAACACTGAAGATTTTTCTTTCTGCCTGCTACACTCCCCCAAACAACAACCTGTGGTATGACAAAATTTATCTGTCCCCGAGCCTTATTGAAACATGTTATTGCTCCGAAAGGCATCAACGTAATCCAACTGAAACAAAGGAGACATAGCTTTATAACAAGTGTTCCTCCGAACTGTATGTGTCACCTGCATAAAGTGTCACGGTCGCCCAGAAATAGAACTGAATGTGCAATGATCAACAAAGCAATATTCCTGAGAAATTTTCCAAGTTCAAAGTGAGATATCACTGCCGAGAAGGGTTACAGACAGCCAGGAAGGGTTACAGACAGCCAAGAAGGGTTACAGACAGCCAAGAAGGGTTACAGACAGCCAAGAAGGGTTACAGACAGCCAAGAAGGGTTACAGACAGCCAAGAAGGGTTACAGACAGCCAAGAAGGGTTACAGACAGCCAAGAAGGGTTACAGACAGCCAAGAAGGGTTACAGACAGCCAAGAAGGGTTACAGACAGCCAGGAAGGGTTACAGACAGCCAAGAAGGGTTACAGACAGCCAGGAAGGGTTACAGACAGCCAGGAAGGGTTACAGACAGCCAAGAAGGGTTACAGACAGCCAAGAAGGGTTACAGACAGCCAAAAAGGGTTACAGACAGCCAAGAAGGGTTACAGACAGCCAAGAAGGGTTACAGACAGCCAAGAAGGGTTACAGACAGCCAAGAAGGGTTACAGACAGCCAAGAAGGGTTACAGACAGCCAAGGAGGGTTACAGACAGCCAAGAAGGGTTACAGACAGCCAAGAAGGGTTACAGACAGCCAAGAAGGGTTACAGACAGCCAAGAAGGGTTACAGACAGCCAAGAAGGGTTACAGACAGCCAAGAAGGGTTACAGACAGCCAAGAAGGGTTACAGACAGCCAGGAAGGGTTACAGACAGCCAAGAAGGGTTACAGACAGCCAAGAAGGGTTACAGACAGCCAAGAATCAATCTTAATCTGTACAAGAAGCCATATACCAAATTTCATTTCAATTACTCAAAGGATAACCCAAAAAAGTCCAGAAAACAATATTCCCTGAGAATTTTCTAAGTTGAAAGGGGCATAACTCTGCCAAAAAGGGTCACAGACAGCTGGAAATCAAAGTTAATCTGTACCATTCCAACAAAAAACCATATACTAAATTTCATTTTGATAACTCAATGCATAATTGAAAAAAGTCCGGAAAACTTGCAAAAACTGAGGAAATAAAATGCAGAAAAAAGGGCTTTCAACAAAACATCAAGTCATGTTATTTAAAATAGTGATATTTTATCATAACTGTGTCCTTTTCACCCATGTAAGATATCCATGTTGTAATGCACAGTCATAAAATGATACTGATGTAACAATCTTAGCAGTAAAAAAAATCCTTATCTACTAGAAATTCTTCAGTCTCAGAACACTTTCCTCAGGTTGTTAATGTGTATTAATTATAATTCTCTTATCACAACTAGTGTGAAGTTATCTAGTTACATAAACAATTGTTCACTGATGGTGATAGAAATTCTTCCTCGGAGGAAAATAAAGGCAGGTTATCATGTTTTCTGGCGCAAACCAGAAACCATTCTTAAAGCTGGGTGGGAATATTTAAAATAGCTATACTTTCATGCAACAATATCAAATATGACTTATTTATCAAAAAGGCAGTGTGACTTTATAACTGTTATTTATCAAGAAGGCAGTGTGACTTTATAACTGTTATTTATCAAAAAGACAGTGTGACTTTATAACTGTTATTTATCAAAAAGGCAGTGTGACTTTATAACTGTTATTTATCAAAAAGACAGTGTGACTTTATAACTGTTATTTATCAAAAAGGCAGTGTGACTTTACAACTGTTATTTATCAAAAAGACAGTGTGACTTTATAACTGTTATTTATCAAAAAGGCAGTGTGACTTTATAACTGTTATTTATCAAAAAGACAGTGTGACTTTATAACTGTTATTTATCAAAAAGGCAGTGTGACTTTATAACTGTTATTTATCAAAAAGACAGTGTGACTTTATAACTGTTATTTATCAAAAAGACAGTGTGACTTTATAACTGTTATTTATCAAAAAGGCAGTGTGACTTTACAACTGTTATTTATCAAAAAGGCAGTGTGACTTTATAACTGTTATTTATCAAAAAGACAGTGTGACTTTATAACTGTTATTTATCAAGAAGGCAGTGTGACTTTATAACTTATTTATCAAGAAGGCAGTGTGACTTTATAACTGTTATTTATCAAAAAGGCAGTGTGACTTTATAACTGTTATTTATCAAAAAGCCAGTGTGACTTTATAACTGTTATTTATCAAAAAGGCAGTGTGACTTTATAACTGTTATTTATCTTCATCTAATAACACAACCAGTAGAAGATTAGAGTGAGAAGTGACTGTGTTGTCACTGAAACGTCACACTCTAATCTTCAACTGGTTGTGTTATTAGATGAAGGTGACCGTGTAGCCATCGAGACGTCACACTCTAATCTTCTACTGGTTGTGGTATAAGAACTTCTATTCTATAACTCCACCAATATTTACAGTAAACAGGGGATACTTTCACCATTCATCCCTTCTGACTTTAAGTATCAAATCAAAGATGGCTCTAAATTTGAAATCAATGCTTATTCATGCTCTATGTTTTATCATACTGTAAAGCAAATGAGATATGTAGTTTAATGTGAGAGAATATATATGAGCTTTTCTGCTTAATGTGAGAGAGAAAACAAAAACATAAAGTTATGAACATGTAGTTTAATGAGAAGATGAAATGAACATGTAGTTTAATGAGAAGATGAAATGAACATGTAGTTTAATGAGAAGATGAAATGAACATGTAGTTTAATGAGAAGATGAAATGAACATTTAGGTTTATGTGAAGGTGAAAATGAAAAATTTAGTTTGATGTGAAGCAAAACAGAAAAAAATTGGACAAATAATTCTTTACTACCCAGTATACCATCTCTGATGTAACTTATCAGAGAAGTACATCATCACAGACCAGTATCCTCATCAATGTCATCATTGATCTTGTATCTGTTATAAGTATTGTTTCCATTAGGTAAGCCAGGTTTGACATCTGTCCGCCCTGAAGCGTCTATAATACCTGTAAGTTTCCTGTTTGGGTGACTGACCGGTACATATAGCTGGTCTCCCTGATCATAGTCCTGAAATAAGATGAGAAAATGGCACACAGACACAAACATTATCATTTTATCTTTAAAAAATGTGTTTCAAACCATTAAAATAGATCTTTGTTAGGCTGATGTGAATTACCTGAGACTAAAATATGTTTTTATTTCAACCTCAAAGCCTTAGGTCCATTATGTTATAAAAAGTTTCAGCAACTAAATTGTAAAGGTGGATCACATAGGCAATTTATTACTTCTTAGAATTTACATCAACATGTTCAGAGACGTCATCCTAATGTATACATGTCATCCTAATGTATACATGTTATCCTAATGTATATACATGTTATCCTAATGTATACATGTTATCCGAATGTATATACATGTTATCCTTACACATGTTATCCTAATGTATATACATGTCATCCTAATGTATACATGTTATCCTAATGTATATACATGTTATCCTTACACATGTTATCCTAATGTATATACATGTTATCCTAATGTTATACATGTTATCCTAATGTATATACATGTTATCCTAATGTATACATGTTATCCTAATGTATATACATGTTATCCTAATGTATATACATGTTATCCTAATGTATATACATGTTATCCTTACACATGTTATCCTAATGTATACACAAGTTATCCTAATGTATACACGTTATCCTAATGTATATACATGTTATCTTAATGTATATACATGTTATCCTAATGTATATACATGTTATCCTTACACATGTTATCCTAATGTATATACATGTTATCCTAATGTATATACATGTTATCCTAATGTATATACATGTTATCCTAATGTATATACATGTTATCCTAATGTATATACATGTTATCCTAATGTATATACATGTTATCCTAATGTTATACATGTTATCCTAATGTTATACATATTATCCTAATGTATATACATGTTATCCTAATGTTATACATGTTATCCTAATGTTATACATGTTATCCTAATGTTATACATGTTATCCTAATGTAGACACATGTTATCCTAATGTTACACATGTTATCCTAATGTATATACATGTTATCCTAATGTATACACATGTTATCCTAATGTATACACATGTTATCCTAATGTATACACATGTTATCCTTACACATGTTATCCTAATGTATATACATGTTATCCTAATGTATACACATGTTATCCTAATGTATATACATGTTATCCTAATGTATATACATGTTATCCTAATGTATACACATGTTATCCTAATGTATACACATGTTATCCTAATGTATACACATGTTATCCTTACACATGTTATCCTAATGTATATACATGTTATCCTAATGTATACACATGTTATCCTTACACATGTTATCCTAATGTATATACATGTTATCCTAATGTATATACATGTTATCCTAATGTATATACATGTTATCCTAATGTATACACATGGTATCCTAATGTATACACATGTTATCCTAATGTATATACATGTTATCCTAATGTATACACATGTTATCCTTACACATGTTATCCTAATGTATATACATGTTATCCTAATGTATACACATGTTATCCTAATGTATACACATGTTATCCTTACACATGTTATCCTAATGTATATACATGTTATCCTAATGTATACACATGTTATCCTAATGTATATACATGTTATCCTAATGTATATACATGTTATCCTAATGTATATACATGTTATCCTATACACATGTTATCCTAATGTATATATATGTTATCCTAATGTATACACATGTTATCCTTACACATGTTATCCTAATGTATACACATGTTATCCTAATGTATATACATGTTATCCTAATGTATATACATGTTATCCTAATGTATACACATGTTATCCTAATGTATATACATGTTATCCTAATGTGTACACATGTTATCCTAATGTATATACATGTTATCCTTACACATGTTATCCTAATGTATATACATATTATCCTAATGTATATACATGTTATCCTAATGTATACACATGTTATCCTAATGTATACACATGTTATCCTAATGTATACACATGTTATCCTAATGTATATACATGTTATCCTAATGTATATACATGTTATCCTAATGTGTACACATGTTATCCTAATGTATATACATGGTATCCTAATGTATATACATGTTATCCTTACACATGTTATCCTAATGTATATACATGGTATCCTAATGTATACACATGTTATCCTAATGTATAGACATGTTATCCTTACACATGTTATCCTAATGTATATACATGTTATCTTAATGTATATACATGTTATCCTAATGTATATACATGTTATCCTTACACATGCTATCCTAATGTATATACATGTCATCCTAATGTATACACAAGTTATCCTAATGTATACACGTTATCCTAATGTATATCCTAATGTATATACATGTTATCCTAATGTATATACATGTTATCCTTACACATGTTATCCTAATGTATACACATGTTATCCTAATGTATATACATGTTATCCTAATGTATATACATGTTATCCTAATGTATATACATGTTATCCTAATGTATACACATGTTATCCTAATGTATATACATGTTATCCTAATGTATATACATGTTATCCTAATGTATATATATACATGTTATCCTAATGTATATACATGTTATCCTAATGTATATACATGTTATCCTAATGTATATACATGTTATCCTAATGTATATACATGTTATCCTAATGTATATACATGTTATCCTAATGTATATACATGTTATCCTAATGTATATACATGTTATCCTAATGTATATACATGTTATCCTAATGTATATACATGTTATCCTAATGTATATACATGTTATCCTAATGTATACACATGTTATCCTTACACATGTTATCCTAATGTATATACATGTTATCCTCATGTTATACATGTTATCCTAATGTATATACATGTTATCCTAATGTATACACATGTTATCCTAATGTATACACATGTTATCCTAATGTATATACATGTTATTAATGTATATACATGTTATCCTAATGTATATACATGTTATCCTAATGTATACACATGTTATCCTAAAACATGTTATACTAATGAATATACATGTTATCATGTTATCCTAATGTATAAACATGTTATCCTAATGTATATATATCCTAATGTTATACATGTTATCCTAATGTATATACATGTTATCCTAATGTATATACATGTTATCCTAATGTTACACATGTTATCCTAATGTATATACATGTTATCCTAATGTATATACATGTTATCCTAATGTATATACATGTTATCCTAATGTATATACATGTTATCCTAATGTATATACATGTTATCCTAATGTATACACATGTTATCCTAATGTATACACATGTTATCCTAATGTATATACATGTTATCCTAATGTATATACATGTTATCCTAATGTATATACATGTTATCCTAATGTTATACATGTTATCCTAATGTATATACATGTTATCTAATGTATAATGTATATACATGTTATCCTAATGTATATACATGTTATCCTAATGTATATACATGTTATCCTAATGTATATACATGTTATCCTAATGTATATACATGTTATCCTAATGTATACACATGTTATCCTAATGTATACACATGTTATCCTTACTAATGTATATACATGTTATCCTAATGTATATACATGTTATCCTAATGTATATACATGTTATCCTAATGTATACACATGTTATCCTAATGTATATACATGTTATCCTAATGTATATACATGTTATCCTAATGTATATACATGTTATCCTAATGTTATACATGTTATCCTAATGTATATACATGTTATCCTAATGTATACACATGTTATCCTAATGTATATACATGTTATCCTAATGTATATACATGTTATCCTAATGTATATACATGTTATACCATGTTACACATGTTATCCTAATGTATATACATGTTATCCTAATGTATATACATGTTATCCTTATGTTATACATGTTACTAATGTTATACATATTATCCTAATGTATATACATGTTATCCTAATGTATATACATGTTATCCTAATGTTATACATGTTATCCTAATGTTATTCATGTTATCCTAATGTAGACACATGTTATCCTTACACATGTTATCCTAATGTATATACATGTTATCCTAATGTATACACATGTTATCCTAATGTATACACATGTTATCCTTACACATGTTATCCTAATGTATATACATGTTATCCTACACATGTTATACACATGTATTATCCTATACACATGTTATCCTAATGTATATACATGTTATCCTAATGTATACACATGTTATCCTAATGTATATACATGTTATCCTAATGTATACACATGTTATCCTTACACATGTTATCCTAATGTATATACATGTTATCCTTACACATGTTATCCTAATGTATACACATGTTATCCTAATGTATATACATGTTATCCTAATGTATATACATGTTATCCTAATGTATATACATGTTATCCTAATGTATATACATGTTATCCTAATGTATACACATGTTATCCTAATGTATACACATGTTATCCTAATGTATATACATGTTATCCTAATGTATACACATGTTATCCTTACACATGTTATCCTAATGTATATACATGTTATCCTAATGTATACACATGTTATCCTAATGTATACACATGTTATCCTAATGTATATACATGTTATCCTAATGTATATACATGTTATCCTAATGTATATACATGTTATCCTAATGTATATACATGTTATCCTAATGTATATACATGTTATCCTAATGTATATACATGTTATCCTAATGTATATACATGTTATCCTAATGTATACACATGTTATCCTAATGTATATACATGTTATCCTAATGTATACACATGTTATCCTTACACATGTTATCCTAATGTATATACATGTTATCCTAATGTATATACATGTTATCCTAATGTATATACATGTTATCCTAATGTATACACATGTTATCCTAATGTATATACATGTTATCCTAATGTGTACACATGTTATCCTAATGTATATACATGTTATCCTTACACATGTTATCCTAATGTATACACATGTTATCCTTACACATGTTATCCTAATGTATATACATATTATCCTAATGTATATACATGTTATCCTAATGTATACACATGTTATCCTTACACATGTTATCCTAATGTATACACATGTTATCCAAATGTATATACATGTTATCCTAATGTGTACACATGTTATCCTAATGTATATACATGTTATCCTTACACATGTTATCCTAATGTATACACATGTTATCCTTACACATGTTATCCTAATGTATATACATATTATCCTAATGTATATACATGTTATCCTAATGTATACACATGTCATCCTAATGTATACACATGTTATCCTTACACATGTTATCCTAATGTATATACATGTTATCCTAATGTATACACATGTTATCCTAATGTATATACATGTTATCCTAATGTGTACACATGTTATCCTAATGTATATACATGGTATCCTAATGTATATACATGTTATCCTAATGTATACACATGTTATCCTAATGTATATACATGGTATCCTAATGTATACACATGTTATCCTAATGTATACACATGTTATCCTTACACATGTTATCCTAATGTATATACATGTTATCCTTACACATGTTATCCTAATGTATATACATGTTATCCTTACACATGTTATCCTAATGTATATACATGTTATCCTAATGTATATACATGTCATCCTAATGTATATACATGTTATCCTAATGTATACACATGTTATCCTAATGTATAGACATGTTATCCTTACACATGTTATCCTAATGTATATACATGTTATCCTAATGTTATACATGTTATCCTAATGTATATACATGTTATCCTAATGTATACACATGTTATCCTAATGTATACACATGTTATCCTTACACATGTTATCCTAATGTATATACATGTTATCCTAATGTTATACATGTTATCCTAATGTATATACATGTTATCCTAATGTATACACATGTTATCCTAATGTATACACATGTTATCCTAATGTATATACATGTTATCCTTACACATGTTATCCTAATGTATATACATGTTATCCTAATGTATACATGTTATCCTAATGTATATACATGTTATCCTAATGTATACACATGTTATCCTAATGTATATACATGTTATCCTAATGTATATACATGTTATCCTAATGTATATACATGTTATCCTAATGTATACACATGTTATCCTAATGTATACACATGTTATCCTAATGTATATACATGTTATCCTAATGTATATACATGTTATCCTAATGTTATACATGTTATCCTAATGTATACACATGTTATCCTAATGTATATACATGTTATCCTAATGTATATACATGTTATCCTAATGTTATACATGTTATCCTAATGTATATACATGTTATCCTAATGTATACACATATTATCCTAATGTATATACATGTTATCCTAATGTATACACATGTTATCCTTACACATGTTATCCTAATGTATATACATGTTATCCTAATGTATATACATGTTATCCTAATGTATACACATGTTATCCTAATGTATATACATGTTATCCTAATGTATACACATGTTATCCTTACACATGTTATCCTAATGTATATACATGTTATCCTAATGTGATCTTTATTCACTAAAAACTTGGTGTTAACTTACATTGTCCTGGACTTTACTGTGATCTATATTACAATGAAGAAATTTTCGGATTGGATGAGGTAGACAACAACAAAAGATGTCAAACACAGGGATCAGGTACTTTGGTGCAACTTGGTGTCTTTTTGTAGGTCCTGCAATAAAAGACTGTAAATTAAATCAGGATTATAATAACAATAATATACCACCACATCTGTCCTGCTTCAAATTGTCTACTTGTATACACCACTATTAGCAGCTGGCACCTATCAAAGTCATATTTTTGACAAGTCCTGTTTTTCATGAAAACACTGAAACACCTCATCACATTTCCTTTGTTCATAATATGTTTAATTACACTAAGAACAAATACAGTCTTTAAATTTCAGCTAAACACAGATTTCAGTCAATCAATCACCCTGAACAGTATCTGACATAACAGTTATTTCTACTGACTAACTTTGGTTTTTTAACCACCCTGAACAGTATCTGACATAACAGTTATTTCTACTGACTAACTTTGGTTTTTTAACCACCCTGAACAGTATCTGACATAACAGTTATTTCTACTGACTAACTTTGGTTTTTTACTCACCCTGAACAGTATCTGACATAACAGTTATTTCTACTGACTAACTTTGGTTTTTTAACCACCCTGAACAGTATCTGACATAACAGTTATTTCTACTGCCTAACTTTGGTTTTTTAACCACCCTGAACAGTATCTGACATAACAGTTATTTCTACTCACTAACTTTGGTTTTTTAACCACCCTGAACAGTATCTGACATAACAGTTATTTCTACTGCCTATTGATCTGTCAGGTTTCTTTTCTTAATTTTTGATGATAAAAAGAAAACTTTGTGTACAATTATGTATTCTCACTCGTTTTCAAGAATTATTATTCTTATGTTTTGTGTAAGAAATTGGTCTCACCTGTTATCAAGCTGACGACAAGTCCAACAATTATACAGACAAGTGTTCCAAAAGTAGAATACCACAAGTATGATAATGAGTAAAACTTAGCAAGGCCACCACTGTAACAAAAACAGGTTTTATAGGTAAAACTTAGTGAGGTTGTCACTGTAACATAAACAGGTTTTATAGGTAAAACTTAGTGAGGCCACCACTGTAACAAAAACAGGTTTTATAGGTAAAACTTAGTGAGGCCACCACTGTAACAAAAACAGGTTTTATAGGTAAAACTTAGTGAGGTCGTCACTGTAACATAAACAGGTTTTATAGGTAAAACTTAGTGAGGCCACCACTGTAACAAAAACAGGTTTTATAGGTAAAACTTAGTGAGGCCACCACTGTAACAAAGACAGGTTTTATAGGTAAAACTTAGTGAGGTCGTCACTGTAACAAAAACAGGTTTTATAGGTAAAACTTAGTGAGGCCACCACTGTAACAAAAACAGGTTTTATAGGTAAAACTTAGTGAGGCCACCACTGTAACAAAGACAGGTTTTATAGGTAAAACTTAGTGAGGTCGTCACTGTAACAAAAACAGGTTTTATAGGTAAAACTTAGTGAGGCCACCACTGTAACAAAAACAGGTTTTATAGGTAAAACTTAGTGAGGCCACCACTGTAACCAAAAACAGGTTTTATAGGTAAAACTTAGTGAGGCCACCACTGTAACAAAAACAGGTTTTATAGGTAAAACTTAGTGAGGCCACCACTGTAACCAAAAACAGGTTTTATAGGTAAAACTTAGTGAGGCCACTACTGTAACAAAAACAGGTTTTATAGGTAAAACTTAGTGAGGCCACCACTGTAACAAAAACAGGTTTTATAGGTAAAACTTAGTGAGGCCACCACTGTAACAAAAACAGGTTTTATAGGTAAAACTTAGTGAGGCCACCACTGTAACCAAAAACAGGTTTTATAGGTAAAACTTAGTGAGGCCACCACTGTAACTAAAACAGGTTTTATAGGTAAAACTTAGTGAGGCCACCACTGTAACCAAAAACAGGTTTTATAGGTAAAACTTAGTGAGGCCACCACTGTAACAAAAACAGGTTTTATAGGTAAAACTTAGTGAGGCCACCACCACTGTAACAAAAACAGGTTTTACAGGTAAAACTTAGTGAGGTCGTCACTGTAACAAAAACAGGTTTTATAGGTAAAACTTAGTGAGGTCGTCACTGTAATAAAAACAGGTTTTATAGGTAAAACTTAGTGAGGCCACCACTGTAACAAAAACAGGTTTTATAAGTAAAACGTAGTGAGGTTGTCACTGTAACAAAAACAGGTTTTATAGGTAAAACTATGTTGTTTTTAATACTAGTATTAAGATGACATTATTGCCTATTCTTAGAGTTTGCCAAAATATCCAAACCCAAAATACACTGAAATCTCCCTGAATAGGAGTGACAGCCATACAGAAATACTTACACAGAGGAGACACTACTGGTTTCGTTGTTTATTGTTCCAGTTAAGGATGTAGAATTTATGTAGTTTGTATATGTAGCTGTCATAGTCGAGTAGTCCATCATACTGTCTGGAGAATACGTCGACACAGAATACAGGGATGTAACGTTTATCTCTAACATATCTGCATCAGATACACAATTTGAAGTAGGAAACTGGAGGGTCTCTGGTGACCCAATGACTGAATATTTCCCAATGTTGATCCAAAGCATGATGATGTAAGAAATGATACTCCCAGCAACAGCACCCTGTCAGTAAATAATATACACCATCAAATGAATACCTGCTTGTTCAGTGAATATAACCCTGACATATTTATACATATTACACATATGTAACATCTTATTGTAATGCCACTTAAGATAATGACTCCGATATGAAAAATATCCAGTTTGAGAAATTTCTGAAGAGCATCATGCTATGTAAATCTGTGTATTGAGAAAGTTTTCATCATAAAGTTTCAATTGGATATCTAGAGGTATACAGTGGTCTCTTAAAATGTAGCCAACAAAAAATTTTAAAAAAACAGAGCACTAAGTCCTGATGTGAGGTAGGCGAATAATTTGGCCTACTTTCTGCTCCTGGTAAACAGCTGTAGAAGAAAGTAAAACATAGTATTGGCCCACCTGGTTTCACAAGTTGGTGCTCTTTTTTGCGTTTTTAGATAATGAAATGACTTAGAGACCAAACAATGGAGACAATGGAGATGAATCGGACATGAATTCAAGTTTGACATATAAATGTTCGTTAATTAACAATTAATAATTAATATAAATGTCAATAATTTAAATGATTCCACCGTTTAATTGTTGATGGAAATGAAAGTTTCTAAGTTGTCATAATTTGTGTCCAGTTCCTTTGAAATTGTTCAAATGAAATATGTTTAAACTGATCAAAACTCATGTAAGATTTTATATCTATATATAGCCTTCATTAATTTCACAACGAAAGTGAAACAAACATTAGTTAATATCAATCGTACTTATAAGAAATAAGAAATAAGATCTTACTGTGGGAGGATTAACAGTGGACAACCAGACAAGTAACTGCATCCCCATCCAATATAAAACCCTAGTCATATCAGTGAAATCCACGGTGTTACCTGGTTTATTATCACCCAATAAATGTTGTGTGTAATGGCATCCTCACAAATACTACAAAACAGAAGTTTACCCAGGGGAAATAAACAATACGCCACATCTTAATCGTTTTAGTCTTTTAATCTTACTTTTTGATTTACCGTCTTTGTCGTTCTTGAGATAATGAGCAGAATGCAAATTCAAGATGGTGGCCATAACCGCCATATTGGATATCGAGCGACGAAGAAAAACAATAGGGTTGTGTAGGTCCATAGGCCCAACATCCTCAGTGAAAATGGTGATGACCGGTTTTTGAGATAATAAGCGGTATGCAATTGTGGACGGACGGACGGACAGACAGACTGACAGACAGACGGACGGACAGATGGACAAACAGACGGACGCCGTTCATGATCGCAATACCACACACTCTTTTGGGATGTGGGGTACAAAAAATGTACAAAACTCTCAGGATAAATTTCAGATTTTGAAAAGAAGATATATGAATTTTCCTTGAGAATAATAAAAAAGAAATTTCAAACTTCAAAAATATTTTATAACCAGAAGATATACTAACAATCAGTATTGCAGTATTTTAATACTTACACAGTGCTGTATAATAAAATACTCACCATCCAGTTACAACAAGGAAAGAAAGCACCCAATATGACAAGTCCATTCAAGGCTCCAGAGGCAGCTCCCATAAAACTCAGGGAAGCCTATCATGAAAATTAAAAATTATTTCAGTAAAACTTTAAAACATAATCAGATTCAGTGTCACTAAAAATTTCTTTCTTTGTTTTTAAACATTTTTCATTTGAAATAATTCCGACTTTGTTCATTCCTAAAAAACACATGCAAATTCTTTTATATTTACACTGTATCCTACTAGTCTCATTGTGTCCTGCCAGCATAACACTGTCCACACTTTGACCTTGTAGTGAAATAAGGTATGCTTTATTTAAAGGCAAAAGCCTTACCTGCAAATAGTTAGACAGCTTGTGTCTGTCACACATATGTCAATAGACAAGAGGCCCATGGGCCTTAACGGTCATCTGACAAAAAGCAAGCCAAACCTAGAAAGTGGGTTGAGGTCATTCATTTGAACAAACTTGGTAGCCTCTCCTCCAAGCATCTTACAGGCCCAATATCAGCACTCATGGACTTTTGCTTGTTGAGAAGAAGTCGTTTGTATATTTCAACATATTTGACCCCTGTGACCTTGAAAGTGGGTTGAGGTCATTCATTTGAATAAACTTGGTAGCCTTTCCTCCCAGCATGCTACAGACCCAATATCGGCACTCATAGACTTTTGCTTATTGAGATGAAGTCCTTTGTATATTTTAACATATTTGACCCCTGTGACCTTGAAAGTGGGCCAAGGTCATTCATTTGAACAAACTTTGTAGGGCTCCATGCCAGCATGCTATGGGCCAAGTATTAGTCCCCTAGGCCTTCTAGTATTTGAGAAGAAGTTATTTAAAGATTTTGACATATTTGACCCCTGCGACCTTGAAAGTTGTTCAAGGTCATTCATTTAAATAAACTTGGTAGCCTTTCCTCCCAGCATGCTACAGACCCAATATCGGCACTCATAGACTTTTGCTTATTGAGATGAAGTCCTTTGTATATTTTAACATATTTGACCCCTGTGACCTTGAAAGTGGGCCAAGGTCATTCATTTGAACAAACTTTGTAGGGCTCCATGCCAGCATGCTATGGGCCAAGTATTAGCCCCCTAGGCCTTCTAGTATTTGAGAAGAAGTTATTTAAAGATTTTGACATATTTGACCCCTGTGACCTTGAAAGTTGTTCAAGGTCATTCATTTAAACAAACTTGATAGCCCTTCATCCCAGCATGCCACAGGCACAATATCAGCAATCTGAGCCTTTTGGTTATTGAGAAGAAGTTGTTTAAAGATTTTAACATATTTGACCCCTGTGACCCAAGGTCATTCATTTGAACAAACTTGGTAGTCCTTCATCCCAGCATGTCACAGGCCCAATATCTACACTCTGAGCCTTTTGGTTAATGAGAAGAAGTTGTTTAAAGATTTTAACATATTTGACCCCTGTGATCTTTAAAGTGGGTCAAGGTCATTCATTTGAACAAACTTGGTAGAGCTCCATGCCAGTATCCTCTGTTCCAAGTATTAGCCCCCTAGACCTTCTAGTATTTGAGAAGAAGTCGTTTGAATGAAAAGTTTACGGACGGCGCACGGCGGACGGCGCACGGCGCACGGCAGACGACGGACGAAGCATGATGACTATAGGTCATCGGACCCTTCGGGTCAGATGACCTAAAAATCCATACAGTAGACTGTATGTATACGTAGGATCACAATTGTTTTTCAGTATACAGCAGTTTATTTCTTACATTACTGAGTGAACTGGGAATAAGAAAAGAGAAAATGTAGCCGCCTTCTCTGTCTGGGAATACCAATTCTTGTTCTTATTCCTTATTCAAGTTTCTGAGATAAAAAAGAAAAAATATAGTTTTTTCCTTATATCTTTTTCAAGGATAGAAAAGGAAACAAGTTTTTTTTTCCTTTTTGATATTTCCTACCTGTAACGTTGTGCCTTTTACATTTCTAACTATTAACCCTACCTGTAATACTGTGCCTTTTAGGTTTCTCACTAAGAATGTCACTCCAATTCCTACGGCTCCATAAAAGAAAACTGCAAGAGAATAAGATTTGTTTTATGTTAACCATCAGCGTTTAAGATTCTCCTAATTTTGTCAGGTCAGCCTCACATTGGTCATGTCTTCAACCTTAAAAACGTTTCTTTTTATCTATTATGACCGTAAAAAAATAAGATTTTGAAGGCTTTGACTAGATATTAGATGATTTAAGATTAGCAACAATGCAGCATCTAGCTACAACCAATTTTGAAGGTGTTCAGTCAATTTTGTTGGATTTTTACAAATTTACAAAATTAACCAACAACTCAGAACTATTACAACTTTAACAGCATATTCTGAAGAAATTAAAATGTTGGGTAACAAGAAACTAAATTCCTGGGTCTCACAATTAAAACTGGAAACAAATAGAATTGTAACTGATAGATTCTGGAATAAAAACAAATGTGACCTTAAACTCACCAATAAAGCGTGTGATCCTGGCCTTTGTTCTCTCCGATTTAAGTTTGAAGAAAGGCTTTAAAATGTCCTCCCATGTGACAGCGCTTAGTGAACTCAGGTTAGACGACAGGGAACTAGGGTAAAAATCTCATTTTAAAAATATGTATGAACTAATTATTAACTAACAGAAAAATGTTTTTATTTTCAAAATAAAGGACAGAGATGTATACAAGGTTAGTGTGAAGTTTAGAGTTGGGACCGAGAATCTCCAAGTTATATATCAGCTTGGTGCTTAATCACCTGTATACATAGGGACCTACATGTATAATTTGACAAATATCCATTCAGTACATCTGAAGCAATAGCGTCAACAAACTTTCTATATCACAATCCAAGATGGCCACCTGTTAGCCATTTTGTTTATCTAATCAGCCATAAAATCAGAAGGGAACTAAAGTAAACCTTACTGTCAAATTTGAGAAAGCTACATCTCCTACTTGTCAAGAAATAATGATAAGAATTGTTAATGGATGTCTATGGACACAGAGTGATGCATAGTGAAGCCTCTGATGACAGTGAGCAACGACAATCACAATACAATACCTACCTCAGTGTTCCACTAAACAGGCAGGCTATAAATAGACCAGGAATTCCTGGTATGTTGAGAATTTCCATCACAAAGTGTGGGATTAGCTGGTTCTTATTCTTTATCTGACCACTGGTCAATGGGTCACAACCAAACTGGGCATAGTATGCAAAGGCGGAAATGCCCATCAAACATGCCCCTGTCAGCAGAAGAAACACACCCAGGCAATTCACAAAGATGGCCCTAGTCAAGACAAATTGAAAATGAAACAAAGATGAGTATTCACAAATAGAACATATGAAGTAATCATCCCAACTTCAATGTTTGGTAGTGTGGTTGACATTTTTATTATTAATCTTTAGATTAACTAGAGCAACATTCAAATTCTCCTGTTCTGAGACTGGAATGTGTGGAAAACATGTCATTTCTTTAAATGCTTTTTTCTTCACTGGAAGTAGTTTTTTTTGACAATGCCAAACATTTACGTAATATACCAGAAGAGATGGTTCCATTACATTTTGGCTTCTTTAAGGCTCCGGAGGGCACTGTAACGTTGAATACTGGATTGACTAGCACCATATGACCCGACCCAGTTAAGGGTTGATCCCACAACTAGACCCCAGAATGTATGTCGTACTGTTGGATCAGGATCAAAGCTAGAAAACATAATATCACACAGTCATATTGTCTGTCTATCATTTGAAGCATGTCTTATTTAGGAAAGTGTTTTATGAATTAATATTTGCAACCCATGATTTTCACCTCTTCATTTTTGTGATGATGAGATATGAACAGTGGTGCTAAGTTCCTTGAGAAATCTATAAATAACTTTGTCGTTTTGAGCTTCAGAGTCTGCATACATATTTACTTCCCCTTAAGTTATCTAGTTGTCATTCCATTCACATTTTACTGTGTATATTGTACATATTGACTTCCCCTTAAGTTATCTAGTTGTCATTCCATTCACATTTTACTGTGTATATTGTACATATTTACTTCCCCTTAAGTTATCTAGTTGTCATTCCATTCACATTTTACTGTGTATATTGTACATATTGACTTCCCCTTAAGTTATCTAGTTGTCATTCCATTCACATTTTACTGTGTATATTGTACATATTTACTTCCCCTTAAGTTATCTAGTTGTCATTCCATTCACATTTTACTGTGTATATTGTACATATTAACTTCCCCTTAAGTTATCTAGTTGTCATTCACATTTTACTGTGTATATTGTACATATTGACTTCCCCTTAAGTTATCTAGTTGTCATTCCATTCACATTTTACTGTGTATATTGTACATATTGACTTCCCCTTAAGTTATCTAGTTGTCATTCCATTCACATTTTACTGTGTATATTGTACATATTGACTTCCCCTTAAGTTATCTAGTTGTCATTCCATTCACATTTTACTGTGTATATTGTACATATTTACTTCCCCTTAAGTTATCTAGTTGTCATTCCATTCACATTTTACTGTGTATATTGTACATATTGACTTCCCCTTAAGTTATCTAGTTGTCATTCACATTTTACTGTGTATATTGTACATATTGACTTCCCCTTAAGTTATCTAGTTGTCATTCACATTCACATTTTACTGTGTATATTGTACATATTGACTTCCCCTTAAGTTCACATTTTACTGTGTATATTGTACATATTGTCAGTTTCTAGTTGTCATTCACATTTTACTGTGTATATTGTACATATTGACTTCCCCTTAAGTTATCTAGTTGTCATTCACATTTTACTGTGTATATTGTACATATTTACTTCCCCTTAAGTTATCTAGTTGTCATTCACATTTTACTGTGTATATTGTACATATTTACTTCCCCTTAAGTTATCTAGTTGTCATTCACATTTTACTGTGTATATTGTACATATTGACTTCCCCTTAAGTTATTTTACTGTGTATATTGTACATATTGACTTCCCCTTAAGTTATCTAGTTGTCATTCACATTTTACTGTGTATATTGTACATATTGACTTCCCCTTAAGTTATCTAGTTGTCATTCACATTTTACTGTGTATATTGTACATATACTTTGTTACTGTCCCATTTTACTGTATAGTTACTTCCCCTTAAGTTCTAGTTGTCATTCACATTTTACTGTGTATATTGTACATATTGACTTCCCCTTAAGTTATCTAGTTGTCATTCACATTTTACTGTGTATATACATTGACTTCCCCTTAAGTTAGTTGTCATTCACATTTTACTGTGTATATTGTACATATTTACTTCCCCTTAAGTTATCTAGTTGTCATTCACATTTTACTGTGTATATTGTACATATTGACTTCCCCTTAAGTTATCTAGTTGTCATTCACATTTTACTGTGTATATTGTACATATTGACTTCATTCACATTTTACTGTGTATTACATATTGACTTCCCCTTAAGTTATCATTCACATTTTACTGTGTATATTGTACATATTGACTTCCCCTTAAGTTATCTAGTTGTCATTCACATTTTACTGTGTATATTGTACATATTGACTTCCCCTTAAGTTATCTAGTTGTCATTCACATTTTACTGTGTATATTGTACATATTGACTTCCCCTTAAGTTATCTAGTTGTCATTCACATTTTTTACATTTTACTGTGTTGTCATTCACATTTTATTGTACATATTGACTTCCCCTTAAGTTATCTAGTTGTCATTCACATTTTACTGTGTATATTGTACATATTGACTTCCCCTTAAGTTATCTAGTTGTCATTCACATTTTACTGTGTATATTGTACATATTGACTTCCCCTTAAGTTATCTAGTTGTCATTCACATTTTACTGTGTATATTGTACATATTGACTTCCCCTTAAGTTATCTAGTTGTCATTCATTCACATTTTACTGTGTATATTGTACATATTTACTTCCCCTTAATTTATCTACTGTGTATATTGTCATTCACATTTTACAGTTTCCCCAGTTATCATTCACATTTTACTGTGTATATTGTACATATTGACTTCCCCTTAAGTTATCTAGTTGTCATTCACATTCACATTTTACTGTGTATATTGTACATATTGACTTCCCCTTAAGTTATCTAGTTGTCATTCACATTTTACTGTGTATATTGTACATATTGTCATTCACATTTTACTGTGTATATTTACATATTGACTTCCCCTTAAGTTATCTAGTTGTCATTCACATTTTACTGTGTATATTGTATATTGTATATTGACTTCCCCTTAAGTTATCTAGTTGTCATTCACATTTTACTGTGTATATTGTACATATTGACTTCCCCTTAAGTTATTTTCTGTGTATATTGTACATATTGTCATTCATTCACATTTTACTGTGTATATTGTACATATTGACTTCCCCTTAAGTTATCTAGTTGTCATTCACATTTTACTGTGTATATTGTAAATATTGACTTCCCCTTAAGTTATCTAGTATATTGTCATATTCATTCACATTTTACTGTGTATATTGTACATATTGACTTCCCCTTATTTTACTGTGTATATTGTACATATTGACTTCCCCTTATCTAGTTGTTATTTTACTGTGTTGTCATTTTACTGTGTATATTGTACACTTCCCCTTAAGTTATCTAGTTGTCAATTTTACTGTGTATATTGTACATATTGACTTCCCCTTAAGTTATCTAGTTGTCATTCACATTTTACTGTGTATATTGTACATATTGACTTCCCCTAAAGTTATCTAGTTGTCATTCACATTTTACTGTGTATATTGTACATATTGACTTCCCCTTAAGTTATCTAGTTGTCATTCACATTTTACTGTGTATATTGTACATATTGACTTCCCCTTAAGTTATCTAGTTGTCATTCACATTTTACTGTGTATATTGTACATATTGACTTCCCCTTAAGTTATCTAGTTGTCATTCACATTTTACTGTGTATATTGTACATATTGACTTCCCCTTAAGTTATCTAGTTGTCATTCACATTTTACTGTGTATATTGTACATATTGACTTCCCCTTAAGTTATCTAGTTGTCATTCACATTTTACTGTGTATATTGTACATATTGACTTCCCCTTAAGTTATCTAGTTGTCATTCACATTTTACTGTGTATATTGTACATATTGACTTCCCCTTAAGTTATCTAGTTGTCATTCACATTTTACTGTGTATATTGTACATATTGACTTCCCCTTAAGTTATCTAGTTGTCATTCACATTTTACTGTGTATATTGTACATAAAGAAGGACATTTCCCTTTCTTCACTGACTGATTCATTTTGCACAGAGATACATTCACTCTTAATAAACTTTTTATAACTTTAACTTCAAATTTCATCCTATATTTAAATTCTGGTCTATTACACATCTTACTTCCAAAAGTTAACTCTGTCCCATTCCTGGTTCAGTCTCCACACCTCACTGAATCCTCCAACCTCCAGCACCCCCTGGTGTAGGAAAAACAAAGATATATCCTATATGGATCACCATTTATCATCTTCATACTGTGCCCCTCCTGGGATCAAGTTGAAACACAGTTACAATATTGCCTTTATAGTAGCAATACTGTGTCCATAACACCAATATTGTTTCCATAGCAATTAGACTGTCTCCATAGTAACAACACTGTCTCCATAGAAACAATACTGTCTCCATGCCAACAAAAAAGCGATACAGTGTTCCTGGTATTAATGCTGCCTTCATAGTACCAATATTGTCTCCATTTCAAAAGAAAAATATGTCAATCTTTTTCTTCTTATTGAAAGTAATTCTAATGTTTAATGTTAATCTATTTTTGGTTTTTGTTGCTGTTTGTAAATCAGTAACTTTGCAATAATTTTACATTAATTTTCTTCTGATTTCTAACATTAAGGTTTCTCAACATTGTTTTTAGCTAGAAATATATCACAGTAATGTATATAGACACTGTAACTGGAAACTGCCTATGTTGGGAGTATATACACATATATATTTTAAACATTGTAACACAACTGACAATGGAAGATAATTTTTTACTAGTTCCCCTATCTAAGCCTCAAACTCACAATCTACATCACTAAACTCCTAGCCTAGAAATCCTATAACTGCCTAAATGTTACCCTACCACGACATCCCTAAAAATTGGTAAAATTAAGTGATATCAGTATCATAATATCATAATATATATATAGACTGATAACAATTGTACAAGGAAAACATAAATACATGTTGACACTAGGTGTGTATAGCATAGTCCTAGTCAAGGTTATCCAGGTAAGCTAAAAATCAACGATAAATAATGTTTTGGAATTGTAGTGTTTAATATTAGACATAACAGGCAGGAACAGACCTGTTAAAGAACATGATCAGGGATAATTATTGTCTTACCTTGCAAATAATTACCAGTATACCAGCCATCATGATCAAGAATTGAAATGCGTCCACCCATATCACAGCCTTCAGTCCACCCTGTCAAGGTACAAAGGGAGATAACTCACTATACAATCACAAGTACACTACTGAAGTGCATTCATCCATATCACACAGTTCAGTCAAACCTGTCAAGGTACAAAGGGAGATAACTCACTATACAATCACAAGTACACTACTGAAATGCATTAACCCATATCACAGCATTCAGTCCATCCCATCAAGGTACAAAGGGAGATAACTCACTATACAATCACAAGTACACTACTGAAATGCATTAACCCATATCACAGCATTCAGTCCATCCCATCAAGGTACAAAGGGAGATAACTCACTATACAATCACAAGTACACAAATGAAATGCATTCAACCATATCACAGTGATCAGTCCACCCCGTCAAGGTACAAAGGGAGATAACTCACTATACAGTTATCGTAAGTTTATAGATATTTTGTCTGGGAAATAACAATATAGAGTGGCATGATGTAAAAGCACTCCAGATTTTATACATGTTTTATGATGATTGTGAATTCAAAAAGATGAGCTGTCAGGATATTTGATCACAAGAATGATAAAAAAAACGTGTTTATTTGTAATATTCAACAAAATTATTGGTTTTCCTTGAAATAAAAATACTTTGTTTCAAAATTTGTACAACAATTGTCATTTAAAATATTTTTTTCCAAACAAAATGATTTTATATACTTTCCTACATTGAAAATATGAGTTTCATATCAGTCTGTGATTGGTTACTTTTCTTCTCCTGAACCAATCATTATACTTCGCCTGTGCCTTCAACTTTGCTATGACACATTCCAGGCATGCAGAAACCCATGTAGTATTGAGAATGGTTTATAACAAAACAAATAACTAGCAAAAATTTGTAAGACACAAATCCATTCCTAAAAGAAGCTTTGATAGGGGACTATTTTCCTAATCTATTGAGGAGTTCACGAGACATGCCATTGACTGGGTGTGTGGTAATGGGAAACAACAGTGATATAGGGAAACAAAGATTGTAAGTTCTCCTTCATTCCTTGTGGGGATAGAGAAACCTAAGACTCTCACACATTCCCTAAAACAGAAGGCAAGCCTGAATATCTATAACAGACCAATCTCTTTGGGATCCGCCCTATCATCAGTACTGAGAGGTAAAAATTTAAAACTTGACTTACAAGAAAAGTATACAAGGTGCAAACAACACCAATGGTAATGAAGGATGCCCACTCCGGGAAACCAGTCACTGAAATAAAGATAGAAAAGGTGTACACAATGGTATAATGATGAGATTTACACTGACAAAGAATCACAGTAAACACAATGGTATAATGATATACACTGACAAAGAATCACAGTAAACACAATGGTATAATGATGTACACTGACAAAGAATCACAGTAAACACAATGGTATAATGATGTACACTGACAAAGAATCACAGTAAACACAGTGGTATAATGATATACACTGACAAAGAATCACAGTAAACACAATGGTATAATGATGTACACTGACAAAGAATCACAGTAAACACAATGGTATAATGATATACACTGACAAAGAATCACAGTAAACACAATGGTATAATGATGAGATATACACTGACAAAGAATCACAGTAAACACAATGGTATAATGATATACACTGACAAAGAATCACAGTAAACACAATGGTATAATGATGTACACTGACAAAGAATCACAGTAAACACAATGGTATAATGATGAGATGTACACTGACAAAGAATCACAGTAAACACAATGGTATAATGATATACACTGACAAAGAATCACAGTAAACACAATGGTATAATGATGTACACTGACAAAGAATCACAGTAAACACAATGGTATAATGATGAGATATACACTGACAAAGAATCACAGTAAACACAATGGTATAATGATATACACTGACAAAGAATCACAGTAAACACAATGGTATAATGATGAGATGTACACTGACAAAGAATCACAGTAAACACAATGGTATAATGATATACACTGACAAAGAATCACAGTAAACACAATGGTATAATGATGTACACTGACAAAGAATCACAGTAAACACAATGGTATAATGATGTACACTGACAAAGAATCACAGTAAACACAGTGGTATAATGATATACACTGACAAAGAATCACAGTAAACACAATGGTATAATGATGTACACTGACAAAGAATCACAGTAAACACAATGGTATAATGATGTACACTGACAAAGAATCACAGTAAACACAATGGTATAATGATATACACTGACAAAGAATCACAGTAAACACAATGGTATAATGATGAGATGTACACTGACAAAGAATCACAGTAAACACAATGGTATAATGATGAGATGTACACTGACAAAGAATCACAGTAAACACAATGGTATAATGATATACACTGACAAAGAATCACAGTAAACACAATGGTATAATAATGAGATATACACTGACAAAGAATCACAGTAAACACAATGGTATAATGATATACACTGACAAAGAATCACAGTAAACACAATGGTATAATGATATACACTGACAAAGAATCACAGTAAACACAATGGTATAATGATATGTACACTGACAAAGAATCACAGTAAACACAATGGTATAATGATGTACACTGACAAAGAATCACAGTAAACACAATGGTATAATGATGACAAAGAATCACAGTACACTGACAAAGAATCACAGTAAACACAATGGTATAATGATGTACACTGACAAAGAATCACAGTAAACACAATGGTATAATGATATACACTGACAAAGAATCACAGTAAACACAATGGTATAATGATGAGATATACACTGACAAAGAATCACAGTAAACACAATGGTATAATGATATACACTGACAAAGAATCACAGTAAACACAATGGTATAATGATGTACACTGACAAAGAATCACAGTAAACACAATGGTATAATGATGAGATGTACACTGACAAAGAATCACAGTAAACACAATGGTATAATGATATACACTGACAAAGAATCACAGTAAACACAATGGTATAATGATGTACACTGACAAAGAATCACAGTAAACACAATGGTGACAAAGAATAAACACAATGATGAGATAGTACACTACAAAGAATCACAGTAAACACAATGGTATAATGATATACACTGACAAAGAATCACAGTAAACACAATGGTATAATGATATACACTGACAAAGAATCACAGTACACTGGACAAAGAATCACAGTAAACACAATGGTATAATGATATACACTGACAAAGAATCACAGTAAACACAATGGTATAATGATGTACACTGACAAAGAATCACAGTAAACACAATGGTATAATGATGTACACTGACAAAGAATCACAGTAAACACAATGGTATAATGATATACACTGACAAAGAATCACAGTAAACACAATGGTATAATGATATACACTGACAAAGAATCACAGTAAACACAATGGTATAATGATGTACACTGACAAAGAATCACAGTAAACACAATGGTATAATGATATACACTGACCAAGAATCACAGAAAACACAAAGGTATAATGATATACACTGACAAAGAATCACAGTAAACACAATGGTATAATGATGAGATGTACACTGACAAAGAATCACAGTAAACACAATGGTATAATGATGAGATGTACACTGACAAAGAATCACAGTAAACACAATGGTATAATGATGAGATATACACTGACAAAGAATCACAGTAAACACAATGGTATAATGATATACACTGACAAAGAATCACAGTAAACACAATGGTATAATGATGTACACTGACAAAGAATCACAGTAAACACAATGGTATAATGATATACACTGACAAAGAATCACAGTAAACACAATGGTATAATGTAAACACAATGGTATAATGATATACACTGACAAAGAATCACAGTAAACACAATGATGTACACTGACAAAGAATCACAGTAAACACAATGGTATAATGTATGAGATATACACTGACAAAGAATCACAGTAAACACAATGGTATAATGATGAGATGTACACTGACAAAGAATCACAGTAAACACAATGGTATAATGATGTACACTGACAAAGAATCACAGTAAACACAATGGTATAATGATATACACTGACAAAGAATCACAGTAAACACAATGGTATAATGATATACACTGACAAAGAATCACAGTAAACACAATGGTATAATGATGTACACTGACAAAGAATCACAGTAAACACAATGGTACATGACAAAGAATCACAGTAAACACAATGGTATAATGATATACACTGACAAAGAATCACAGTAAACACAATGGTATAATGATATACACTGACAAAGAATCACAGTAAACACAATGGTATAATGATATACACTGACAAAGAATCACAGTAAACACAATGGTATAATCACAGATATACACTGACAAAGAATCACAGTAAACACAATGGTATAATGATATACACTGACAAAGAATCACAGTAAACACAATGGTATAATGATGTACACTGACAAAGAATCACAGTAAACACAATGGTATAATGATGTACACTGACAAAGAATCACAGTAAACACAATGGTATAATGATACAGAATAAACACAATGGTAAACACAATGGTATAATGATATACACTGACAAAGAATCACAGTAAACACAATGGTATAATGATATACACTGACAAAGAATCACAGTAAACACAATGGTACACTGACAAAGAATCACAGTAAACACAATGGTATAATGATGTACACTGACAAAGAATCACAGTAAACACAATGGTATAATGATATACACTGACAAAGAATCACAGTAAACACAATGGTATAATGATGAGATATACACTGACAAAGAATCACAGTAAACACAATGGTATAATGATGTACACTGACAAAGAATCACAGTAAACACAATGGTATAATGATGTACACTGACAAAGAATCACAGTAAACACAATGGTATAATGATATACACTGACAAAGAATCACAGTAAACACAATGGTATAATGATGAGATATACACTGACAAAGAATCACAGTAAACACAATGGTATAATGATGTACACTGACAAAGAATCACAGTAAACACAATGGTATAATGATGAGATATACACTGACAAAGAATCACAGTAAACACAATGGTATAATGATGTACACTGACAAAGAATCACAGTAAACACAATGGTATAATGATATACACTGACAAAGAATCACAGTAAACACAATGGTATAATGATGTACACTGACAAAGAATCACAGTAAACACAATGGTATAATGATATACACTGACAAAGAATCACAGTAAACACAATGGTATAATGATGAGATATACACTGATGATGATATACACTGACAAAGAATCACAGTAAACACAATGGTATAATGATGTACACTGACAAAGAATCACAGTAAACACAATGGTATAATGATATACACTGACAAAGAATCACAGTAAACACAATGGTATAATGATGTACACTGACAAAGAATCACAGTAAACACAATGGTATAATGATATACACTGACAAAGAATCACAGTAAACACAATGGTATAATGATATACACTGACAAAGAATCACAGTAAACACAATGGTATAATGATGTACACTGACAAAGAATCACAGTAAACACAATGGTATAATGATGTACACTGACAAAGAATCACAGTAAACACAATGGTATAATGATATACACTGACAAAGAATCACAGTAAACACAATGGTATAATGATATACACTGACAAAGAATCACAGTAAACACAATGGTATAATGATGTACACTGACAAAGAATCACAGTAAACACAATGGTATAATGATATACACTGACAAAGAATCACAGTAAACACAATGGTATAATGATGAGATGTACACTGACAAAGAATCACAGTAAACACAATGGTATAATGATGTACACTGACAAAGAATCACAGTAAACACAATGGTATAATGATGAGATATACACTGACAAAGAATCACAGTAAACACAATGGTATAATGATATACACTGACAAAGAATCACAGTAAACACAATGGTATAATGATATACACTGACAAAGAATCACAGTAAACACAATGGTATAATGATGTACACTGACAAAGAATCACAGTAAACACAATGGTATAATGATATACACTGACAAAGAATCACAGTAAACACAATGGTATAATGATGTACACTGACAAAGAATCACAGTAAACACAATGGTATAATGATATACACTGACAAAGAATCACAGTAAACACAATGGTATAATGATGTACACTGACAAAGAATCACAGTAAACACAATGGTATAATGATATACACTGACAAAGAATCACAGTAAACACAATGGTATATGATGAATGTACACTGACAAAGAATCACAGTAAACACAATGGTATAATGAATACACTGACAAAGAATCACAGTAAACACAATGGTATAATGATATACAATGATATACTTTTACACAATATAATTCTGTATATCTAGGTACTGTAACAAAAAATAAATCTGTAATCTGTATAGTTCTAGGTACTGTAACAAAAAAATCTGTATAGTTCTGTATAGTTCAAGGTACTGTAACAAAAAATAAATCCAATGTATAGTTCTGAGGTACTGTGAACAAAAAATAAATTTGTAATAGTTCTGTATAGTTCTAGTACTGTAACAAAAAATAAATCTGTATAGTTCTGTAAGTTCTAGGTACTGTAACAAAAAATATATCTGTATAGTTCTGTATAGTTCAAAGGTACTGTAACAAAAAATAAATCTGTATAGTTCTGTACAAATATAAATCTTACCTAGTTCTGTACTGTTACAAAAAATAAATCTGTATAGTTCTTATGTTCTAGGTACTGTAACAAAAAATAAATCTGTAAGTTCTGTATAGTTCTAGGTACTGTAACAAAAAATAAACTGTAACAAAAAATAAATCTGTATAGTTCTGTATAGTTCTAGGTACTGTTACAAAAAAATAAATCTGTATAGTTCTGTATAGTTCTAGGTACTGTTACAAAAAAATAAATCTGTATAGTTCTGTATAGTTCAAGGTACTGTAACAAAAAATAAATCTGTATAGTTCTGTATAGTTCTAGGTACTGTAACAAAAAATAAATCTGTATAGTTCTGTATAGTTCTAGGTACTGTAACAAAAAAATAAATCTGTATAGTTCTGTATAGTTCTGTATAGTAGGTACAAAAAAATAAATCTGTATAGTTCTGTATAGTTCTAGGTACTGTAACAAAAAAATAAATCTGTATAGTTCTGTATAGTTCAAGGTACTGTTACAAAAAAATAAATCTGTATAGTTCTGTATAGTTCAAGGTACTGTTACAAAAAAATAAATCTGTATAGTTCTGTATAGTTCTAGGTACTGTTACAAAAAATAAATCTGTATAGTTCTGCATAGTTCAAGGTACTGTAACAAAAAAATAAATCTGTATAGTTCTGTATAGTTCTAGGTACTGTAACAAAAAAATAAATCTGTATAGTTCTGTATAGTTCTAGGTACTGTAACAAAAATAAATCTGTATAGTTCTGTATAGTTCTAGGTACTGTTACAAAAAAATAAATCTGTATAGTTCTGTATAGTTCTAGGTACTGTAACAAAAAAATCAATCTGTATAGTTCTGGGTACTGTAACAAAAAAATAAATCTGTATAGTTCTGTATAGTTCTGTAACAAAAAATAAATCTGTATAGTTCTGTATAGTTCTAGGTACTGTAACAAAAAAAAAATAAATCTGTATAGTTCTGTATAGTTCTAGGTACTGTAACAAAAAATAAATCTGTATAGTTCTGTATAGTTCTAGGTACTGTTAACAAAAAATAAATCTGTATAGTTCTGTATAGTTCTAGGTACTGTAACAAAAAAAAATAAATCTGTATAGTTCTGTATAGTTCTAGGTACTGTAACAAAAAATAAATCTGTATAGTTCTGTATAGTTCTAGGTACTGTAACAAAAATAAATCTGTATAGTTCTGTATAGGTAGGTACTGTAACAAAAAAATAAATCTGTATAGTTCTGTATATAGTAAATCTGTATAGTTCTGTATAGTTCTAGGTACTGTAACAAAAAAATAAATCTGTATAGTTCTGTATAGTTCTGTAACAAAAAATAAATCTGTATAGTTCTGTATAGTTCTAGGTACTGTAACAAAAAAATAAATCTGTATAGTTCTGTTCTAGGTACTGTAACAAAAAAATAAATCTGTATAGTTCTGTATAGTTAGGTAGTAACAAAAAATAAATCTGTATATAGTTCTAGGTACTGTAACAAAAAAATAAATCTGTATAGTTCTGTATAGTTCTAGGTACTGTAACAAAAAAATAATATCTGTATAGTTCTGTATAGTTCTAGGTACTGTAACAAAAAAATAAATCTGTATAGTTCTGTATAGTTCTAGGTACTGTTACAAAATATTTATTTGTATCACAGAGATAACCTAGATGGAATATCCTCTGGCCCAAACACCACACAATAAGTCAGGTTTGTCTGACAATATCAGCATCCTTGATACCCTAGGGATTAGGAACACTAAGGCCCTCTGGAAAGTGATACTGGACATAACCCCAGGAGTATTGAGGAGGCAACATGAGAGGTAGACTGAGCTAAGAGATTGTCATTGTCCTCAAACTGACATGTGAATCATCCATTCTACAGAAAATGTAACCATGGATTTAGATATATCCGCTGTAATTACACAACAGGTAGGAAAAAGCTGAGGACTCTGTCTTGATTTTGTGAAATTTATTCACCAATACGTGTTCCATTCTGGAGATATTTCAGATTTAGAATATTTCATCAATTTTTACTCCTTATTTTGTCTTTTTTTCAAACTACTTTCTTTTAAACAGTCTCAAGTTTTTGACAGCTAGCTGCTACATTATCCATTCTATTTGCAAGTCTAAGAAATACCTACTTCACCTATTTCAAACGTTTCCCGTGTCATAAAGTATTACCAACTGAATCCTTTACCTAACAAAGGACTGGTACAATACATATCGTGTACAACATTTAACTTACAATCAATTTACAAAAACTGCACATGTATATATGATGAAATGTCACTAAAAGTCACCGTACATAATCAAATGTAAGGAAGTCTGCTTCTGGTTAAAATCACACTTCAATCTTATGACAAATGATCAACATATTGGAAAATACTTCCTACATCACTATCAAAGTATAACTATGATAAAGAGGCCGGAATGAGGGAAACTTGAAAAATATTACATGATATTGATTAAGTAAATGTTTACCTCATACATACTGGTCAACTTCAATGGATAAAACAGTGGAATATAAACAACAGACGCCAGTAGCACGGCAAGCATCTGTCCAAAAGTATACAAATAATACTGAGTCCCCTTGGTGTACACCTCAGCTGGAGCACCCAAGATCAATATGGCGGACTGGAAAGAGACAAGGATGGAGAGGGCTGTGGGTATGAGACTCATCTTCCTATTTCCCATCAGGAATTCACCAGTCGTTCTCTGTCGGCCTCCAGCCAAGGCATGGTACACACCAATACCAACAGAAACCAATAGTAGTCCAACAAATACTATCCAATCTATTACGTTAAAAGTCCTCTCCATGGCGATCTGAAAAAAACATTGCACTGTCAATCATTTCAGTTCAGTTGATTGTACGATGATGTTAATTGATTAATGAGCGAGTTGTGATGATGATGATGATGATGATGATGATGATGATGATGATGATGATGATGATGATGATGATGATGAAATTTAGTATTGACTCGTCAGGAAATATTCTATCATCTGCTGATGATGGTGCCATCATCCTTTCCCATAAAATCTGGATGTTATTTCCACTAAACTCTCCAAAGTTTTAGAAGCCAGTCACAAATGGTTGGTCGACAACAACTTACTCTCATTTTTGTTAAAACAATGAGCAAGTTTTCTGACCCAAAGAAGAAAACAAATCAACTCTGTTCAATTTGTTTTGATAAATTGGTAGGGACAAAATTTGACCCCAAAATTAAGTTAAATATCTTGAAAGGCATAATTGATAAACATCTGTCTGCTGAGCATTTCATTTGATCAACCAATGTCTTAAAATCCTGTATATTTACAGAAAGTGTCTTTTAGCTAATTCACATAAACCTCTTCTCCCATGCAATGGTACTTTGACTTGACCTGTTCTTTGTGCTTTGAAGATTTGTCTAAGAAATCTAAAGACAAAACTACAAATTTCCAACAACAAGATGGCACACTTTATTTTAGACAAAATGATAGTTACCTTTACCTGACTTCAACAACTGGCCTCCTTAATATTAACCAGAGGCCAACTGGCATTAAAGGTCAACTGAGTATCAAGACCTATATAGGAAAGAGGCCCAATAGGCCCAAAATAAATTGTTCAACTATTCTACAGCCTACAAAGAAGACCTTGGTTGGTTCATAACAACATTTTCTGCAAACATGAAATCATATTCTTTATATATGCTAGCTACTACACAAATGCCATTATTCTGTATCTATTGCTTGTTAAAAAAAGATGTTTTAACGAGTCTGATGAAGAGAACCTTTAAGGACCTGTGTTGGAAAAAATAGCATTAGTTACTATAAGCTGTGGTATTTTATTGTAATCAATAAGAATCAATTAATTATAGATCATACTTGTTGTATTAATCAGTATTGTAATCAATACCTATACACACACTGGAAAATTAGTTCAATATACATTGTGATGTCCTCGATGTTAGCAAGCATATTACACGTTTTTGAGACTTGAGAAAGTCTTGCCAACAATTTATAGTTATCCGCCCCTGGTACGTGTTTCTTCGAAACGGTGATGCCATGTAAAATTCTCATACACTGCTGTAACCAAAATAATGATGTCTTCTGGGTATATATAAATACCTTTATATATACCCAGAAGACATCATTTTGGAATTTTGGTTGTTCTTTACGCTTTGTCTTCATAATGAATTGTTCATAATCCAACATTATATTACCACATGAAGTCGTCATTGAGCTGCAGCCTACATTGCGAAATCGCGCGTGAGGTAGAATTAAAGCACGATCACGATAGGCCTACATGGTTACATCCTAGTGCACCAAGATGAACCGTACCACGTGCGCTTGTGATGAAATACAAGTTCGGAAGGAAGCTAGGTACAATATTTTCTGCAAATACAGTAATGACAGGGGTGATTTAGTGAAATAAAGAAAATGGAAAGTGCTTTTATAAGGCCCATAGATACCTAATTGTATAGTCTTCTCCCGGTATGTATCTACCTTTCTTAACGGCTGGTGAGTCCAGGTCCTGGTAATGCTTACTTTTCGAGTGAAACCCTAGACTTGCACAAGTCCTAGCTAGTAACACAATGCTACAGTGAAAGTAATTCAACCAGAGTTGTCGATCATAACAATATTGCACTTGCGATGATGACATACTTCAATAATAATAATTATCATCAATTTTCACTAATGTCACAGTATATGAACATTATTGTCATTGTGGGAGATTGCGGCATGATAAATTTGTAAATCGGGCAACCTGTCAGGTTCATAGTAACATTCTTTTGCTAGGATGCTAGGGTCAGACGATTTACAGGATCGGATCGGGCAGAATCGGGGTAGAATAGTGCCGTTTTTAATGATTTTTATGGATTTCTTTTGCATTGATATCATCATATGTTACAAGAGAGAGAGAGAGAGAGAGTTAAATACATAGAAAGTAATTTCCGTTTCCGGATTTACGTAACGCTAATTCTTGGTATTCTACTTTCGTTTTGCAGATCTACAGTATCAGTCATAAGCCATAGATACTGTTTTTATTTTAAATGAAACAGACAGGTAGGTCAACAACACGATAAAAACAACGACGATTCAAGAATGTGGGTATCTTTATTTATTCATTTCAAAAGCTATCAGATAGTGTGTAAATGCATACAAAAATATACCCAACAAGATTCACATCTGTTTGTTTCTAAATTAGGAATCGTCTGGACGTGTGGGGTTTGTATGTGGCATGTGGTAGTGTGGGGTTTGTATGTGGTAGTGTGGGGTTTGTATGTGGTAGTGTGGGGTTTGTATGTGGTAGTGTGGGGTTTGTATGTGGCAGTGTGGGGTTTGTATGTGGTAGTGTGGGGTTTGTATGTGGTAGTGTGGGGTTTGTATGTGGTAGTGTGGGGTTTGTATGTGGTAGTGTGGGGTTTGTATGTGGTAGTGTGGGGTTTGTATGTGGTAGTGTGGGGTTTGTATGTGGTAGTGTGGGGTTTGTATGTGGTAGTGTGGGGTTTGTATGTGGCAGTATGGGGTTTGTATGTGGCAGTATGGGGTTTGTATGTGGTAGTGTGGGGTTTGTATGTGGTAGTTTGGGGTTTGTATGTGGTAGTGTGGGGTTTGTATGTGGTAGTGTGGGGTTTGTATGTGGTAGTGTGGGGTTTGTATGTGGTAGTGTGGGGTTTGTATGTGGTAGTGTGGGGTTTGTATGTGGTAGTGTGGGGTTTGTATGTGGTAGTGTGGGGTTTGTATGTGGTTGTGTGGGGTTTGTATGTGGTAGTGTGGGGTTTGTATGTGGTAGTGTGGGGTTTGTATGTGGTAGTGTGGGGTTTGTATGTGGTAGTGTGGGGTTTGTATGTGGTAGTGTGGGGTTTGTATGTGGTAGTGTGGGGTTTGTATGTGGTAGTGTGGGGTTTGTATGTGGTAGTGTGGGGTTTGTATGTGGTAGTGTGGGGTTTGTATGTGGTAGTGTGGGGTTTGTATGTGGTAGTGTGGGGTTTGTATGTGGTAGTGTGGGGTATGTATGTGGTAGTGTGGGGTTTGTATGTGGTAGTGTGGGGTTTGTTTGTGGTAGTGTGGGGTTTGTATGTGGTAGTGTGGGGTTTGTATGTGGTAGTGTGGGGTTTGTATGTGGTAGTGTGGGGTTTGTATGTGGTAGTGTGGGGTTTGTATGTGGTAGTGTGGGGTTTGTATGTGGTAGTTTGGGGATTGTATGTGGTAGAGTGGGGGTTGTATGTGGTAGTGTGGGGTTTGTATGTGGTAGTGTGGGGTTTGTATGTGGTAGTGTGGGGTTTGTATGTGGTAGTGTGGGGTTTGTATGTGGTAGTGTGGGGTTTGTATGTGGTAGTGTGGGGTTTGTATGTGGTAGTGTGGGGTTTGTATGTGGTAGTGTGGGGTTTGTATGTGGTAGTGTGGGGTTTGTATGTGGTAGTGTGGGGTTTGTATGTGGTAGTGTGGGGTTTGTATGTGGGAGTGTGGGGTTTGTATGTGGTAGTGTGGGGTTTGTATGTGGTAGTGTGGGGTTTGTATGTGGTAGTGTGGGGTTTGTATGTGGTAGTGTGGGGTTTGTATGTGGTAGTGTGGGGTTTGTATGTGGTAGTGTGGGTGTTGTATGTGGGTGTGTGGGTTTTGTCTGTGGTAGTGTGGGGTTTGTATGTGGTAGTGTGGGGTTTGTATGTGGTAGTGTGGGGTTTGTATGTGGTAGTGTGGGGTTTGTATGTGGTAGTGTGGGGTTTGTATGTGGTAGTGTGGGGTTTGTATGTGGTAGTGTGGGGTTTGTATGTGGTAGTGTGGGGTTTGTATGTGGTAGTGTGGGTTTTGTATGTGGTAGTGTGGGGTTTGTATGTGGTAGTGTGGGGTTTGTATGTGGTAGTGTGGGGTTTGTATGTGGTAGTGTGGGGTTTGTATGTGGTAGTGTGGGGTTTGTATGTGGTAGTGTGGGGTTTGTATGTGGTAGTTTGGGGTTTGTATGTGGTAGTGTGGGGTTTGTATGTGGTAGTGTGGGGTTTGTATGTGGTAGTGTGGGGTTTGTATGTGGTAGTGTGGGGTTTGTATTTGTTAGTGTGGGGTTTGTATGTGGTTGTGTGGGGTTTGTATGTGGTAGTGTGGGGTTTGTATGTGGTAGTGTGGGGTTTGTATGTGGTAGTGTGGGGTTTGTATGTGGTAGTGTGGGGTTTGTATGTGGTAGTGTGGGGTTTGTATGTGGTAGTGTGGGGTTTGTATGTGGTAGTGTGGGGTTTGTATGTGGTAGTGTGGGGTTTGTATGTGGTAGTGTGGGGTTTGTATGTGGTAGTGTGGGGTTTGTATGTGGTAGTGTGGGGTTTGTATGTGGTAGTGTGGGGTTTGTATGTGGTAGTGTGGGGTTTGTATGTGGTAGTGTGGGGTTTGTATGTGGTAGTGTGGGGTTTGTATGTGGTAGTGTGGGGTTTGTATGTGGTAGTGTGGGGTTTGTATGTGGTAGTGTGGGGTTTGGGGTTTGTATGTGGTAGTGTGGGGTTTGTATGTGGTAGTGTGGGGTTTGTATGTGGCAGTGTGGGGTTTGTATGTGGTAGTGTGGGGTTTGTATGTGGCAGTGTGGGGTTTGTATGTGGTAGTGTGGGGTTTGTATGTGGTAGTGTGGTGGGGTATGTGGGAGTGTGGGGTTTGTATGTGGTAGTGTGGGGTTTGTATGTGGTAGTGTGGGGTTTGTATGTGGTAGTGTGGGGTTTGTATGTGGTAGTGTGGGGTTTGTATGTGGTAGTGTGGGGTTTGTATGTGGTAGTGTGGGGTTTGTATGTGGTAGTGTGGGGTTTGTATGTGGTAGTGTGGGGTTTGTATGTGGTAGTGTGGGGTTTGTATGTGGT